ATATATATATATATATATATATATATATATATATATATATATATATATATATAACCAACTCCCAATAAATTCTACACTTCTAGAATCTGAACTTTACATAATTAAAATTTTACACGGTCACTTTTTATACAATAAATTTGTCATTTTCTATGATTTCCTGGAGAAGGTGTGGATGGCTAGCAGCTTGGATCTTCTAAGAACAATAATAATTAATATTTAATTAATCCCGTGACACAAAGTACCTTTAGAACATATATATAGACATGAGGCCAAGCAGCCCCTTGATTGAACATAACTAACTATTTTCATAGTTGATATCTTTATTTCAAATATTGCAACTTGCTTTTTGGGATCTATCAACTTTTGTGAAGTTGATGGTTATAATTGTTCATGATATGATCACACCAATCCAAAAGAAAAATAAATTATTTACATAAAGTTTTGAATTGTGTCAAAGTATGCAATTAGTGACCATTTCAAAGATATTGTGATACACAACATGTGAATTGAAAAAAACTAATTTCAAATTAATGACTTGTGTATATGTTGATAACTTAGAATCTAAGATGAATATATAATTACTTAATTGTGATTATGGTGTAAATTTAAGTCATTGATCATTTATACAGTGGCATATATGGATTCAATCCTAATGGTCGATGTGGTTTAATTTGCATAAAAGAATTCATGATAAGTGAGAATGTGGGATTAAAATTTTAGGGTAAGCTAGGAAGGAATTAATGTGTGCAAATTTTATATTCCATTGCTTGGTTCGTAGGGGAAAACAATTATTAGCAATAATTAATATTATCCTTATATAATAAAGGTTTGTGAGGATAATATTGTTGCATTAAGAACACTTTTTCTTGGCAGGGTGATGAGAAATTTAAAATATGAGTTAATACCTGACTTGATTCCTTACTATTAGGATTTCACCACTTTAATCTTCGACTTCTAAATTTATTTAATCTCATCTCCAACTATGCAATTGTTAACCAAAATGGTCATCAATCAGGACTGTTTTAAATAAAAATTGCATAATTGGAATGAAATTGAACAAGTTTAAAAGTCGAGGACCAAAGTGGTGAAATCATAATAGTCGATGGACCAAATCAAGGTATTAACTCTAAGTCAATAAAATCCCAATTCGTCCCATGAAGTAAATCTTGGATGTGCATGGAGTAAATCTTGCTTTGCGACTCTAGCTGGCGAAGGACTATATGAAGGTAAACCGAGCTATGTTACCCATAGCTAACTGGTTTAAAAAAAAAAAAAAAAAGCCTAATAATTATTACACTAAGAATCAAACTTGTAATTTTGTGATTACTAAATCAATAATTTAACCAACTTAGTCAGAGTTACTCCATTCCATCAAGATTATTGAGAATAGAATTGCACCATTTGAAACTTGGCGCAATATATTAAACAAGAATAAGTACGATATTGATCCATACATATATTCACCTAGAGGCTAATTTGTTATAATAATATTATTATAATAATTGTTAAACCAAGAGTTAATTAGTTTGTTAATTAAATTAAGTAGTGGGTGGTGTGTATGCAGTATGTGGCTTAGTGTATGTGGAGTACATGGAGCATACATTCCTAATTTTTAGCTTTATTATTATTTCTCCTTTACTATAAAAAGGCTGTGTATCAATCTTTTTCAAATATCAATCAAGTGAATTCAATTCTCCCTCTCTCTCTCTTCTCAAATATATATTATATATATATATTATAGATATATTATATTATATTTAATATATATTATATTAAATATATTATATTTAATATATATTATATTAAATATATTATATTTAATATATCTAACATTTGGTATCAGAGCCAGTCAACCTTTCAACCCCGAGGTATTTTTCATAGTGAATTATGGCCACAAATTTCAATATTGTATGGTCGGGTCCCAAATTGGACGAGAACCTCGATTACAATTATTGGCAAATTATGATGTCCACACATTTGCAAGCTCAAAATCTTTGGAGCTTTGTTGATCCCGGTCTACCCGAAGGAGCTGATGCAGCCGCTATACGGCGAGATAAATTGGCCTTGGGTCAGATTCACCAAGGTGTTCATTATTCCATTTTTGGGCAATTAGCTCGTGCTCAAACAGCAAAACAAGCTTGGGACATCTTAAAGGTGTCACACAAAGGAGTTGATCGGGCGCAGAAGTCTAAGTTGCAATCGTTGAGAAGGTTGTACGATAATTGTGAGATGACCTCTACAGAAACAGTAGATGCGTATTTCACTCGTCTTATTGATATGGTGAATAAGATGAGGCTATATGGAGATACGATTGAAGATGGTGCAGTGGTTGAAAAAGTTCTTCGAACTATGCCGATGAAGTATGACCATGTGGTGGCTTCGATCACAGAGTCACACAAAACTGAGCTCTTATCAATTGCAGAGCTGAAAGGTATGGTAGAAAGTCATATTGACAGGATTGCGTCAAAATCGGAACCACTAGCAGAAGAAGCTTTGAAGAGTCAAGTCACCCTTAATGTGACTGGCACTAATCAAAGAGGTGGAGGATCTGGTAGAGGTCGTGGAAGAGGAAGAGGAGGTTCTAGTGGAAGAGGTCGTGGTAACTTTAACCAAGGAGGAGGACGTGGTAACTCCAACCAAGGAAGAGGTGGAGGTAATACCAAACAAGGTAAATTTCCATTTCATTGCTACAATTGTGGCAAGTATGGGCACAAGATTGCAGATTGTTGGTATAATGAGGACAACAATCGTGGAAATCAAGCAAACATTGCTGAAAACACTGCTGAAAAGTTTGGTGAGAGTTCTGAAACTTTACTTTTAGCCAGCGATAGTTTTTCTGCAGATAAGAACATATGGTTCTTGGATACTGGGTGTAGTAACCATATGTGTGGGAAGAAAGAATTGTTTTCCGAACTAGATGAATCAGTCCGGTCTGAAGTGACATTTGGCAACAAGTCAAAAGTGCCAATTTTGGGAAAAGGTAAAATCTCTATTCAGTTGAAGGATGGTACTCACAATTTTATATCCGATGTGTTCTATGTTCCTGAACTACACCAAAATTTGTTGAGTATGGGTCAGTTGTCAGAAAAAGGATATAAGATACATATTGCTCAGGGGTGTTGTACCATTGCAGATGCTAAAGGAGTTTTGATTGCAAAGGTAAATATGTCCCAAAATCGACTATTTCCTTTGAAAATTAAGCATACTCTACTTGCTTGCTTTAATTCTGAAGTTTGTGATGATAATTGGTTATGGCATATGCGATTTGGGCATTTCCATTTCTCTGGATTAAACTATCTTGCGAGAAAGGAACTTGTTTCTGATTTACCTGTTGTGAATGTCCCTGATCGTATCTGTGAGATTTGTGTGATTGGGAAGAAGCATAGAGATCCCTTTCCCGTGGGCAAGTCAAGGAGAGCTACAAAACAGTTGGAGATTATTCACTCAGACCTATGTTCGTTGGAGGTTCCCTCACATGGAGGTTGTAAGTACTTTATTACTTTCATTGATGATTTCAGTAGAAAAACATGGGTTTACTTTCTGAAGCAAAAGTCTGAAGCATGTGATGTTTTCAAACAATTTAAGGCTTTTGTTGAAAAGCAGACTGGTTATGAAATTAAAATCTTGAGAACTGATAGAGGTACAGAATATATTGCCTGTGATGATTTTCTGAAGAAAAAGGGTATTCAGCACCAAATGACATCTAGATACACTCCACAACAAAATGGAGTGGCTGAGAGGAAGAATAGGTCTATCATGGATATGGTAAGGTGCATGTTGAAATCCAAGGATCTGCCTAAACCTTTTTGGGCAGAAGCTGTTGCTTGTGCTGTCTATGTGTTGAATAGGTGTCCAACTAAGAGTGTCCATGATAAGACGCCCGAAGAAGCTTGGAGTGGGAGAAAACCCTCTATCAAATATCTCAAGGTTTTTGGATGTTTGGCATATGCACATGTGCCAGATCCATTGAGAAAGAAGTTGGATGATAAAGGTGAGAAATGCATATTCATTGGTTATAGTGACGCTTCAAAGGCTTATAAACTATACAATCCTGAAACTAAAAAGGTTGTTATAAGTCGTGATGTCACTTTTGATGAATATGGTGCCTGGGATTGGTTAGCTAAAGATGAAAGTTCAGTTGTTATTCCTGCTGTTGAAAATATTGTTGAAGAGCAACCGATTCCAGATAATGTCCAGTCTCCTTCACAGCCAGAATCGTCAGTTCGGCGATCTCAGCGCGAGCGCCACTTACCAGCTCGCTTGCAAGATTATGTTTTGGGTCATGATAATGACCTGTCTGATGAAGAGATTGTTCAATTTGCTCTCTTTGCAGATTGTGATCCTTTAACTTTTGAGGAGGCTGCTACAGAAACTCATTGGCTTAAGGCGATGGATGAGGAGATACGTGCCATTGAGAAGAATGGTACCTGGGAGTTAACAGATTTACCTCCTGGGAAGAAGCCAATTGGAGTAAAGTGGGTTTACAGAACGAAATACAAGTCAGTATATCCAACTTGAAGACGAAGACATTTCTTAAATTGAAGAAGGAAATTGGGATGACCAATATATCCAACTTGGTTTAAAGGAGGCAATGTTATAATAATATTATTATTATAATTGTTAAACCAAGAGTTAATTAGTTTGTTAATTAAATTAAGTAGTGGGTGGTGTGTATGCAGTATGTGGCTTAGTGTATGTGGAGTACATGGAGCATACATTCCTAATTTTTAGCTTTATTATTATTTCTCCTTTACTATAAAAAGGCTGTGTATCAATCTTTTTCAAATATCAATCAAGTGAATTCAATTCTTCCTCTCTCTCTCTTCTCAAATATATATTATATATATATTATAGATATATTATATTATATTTAATATATATTATATTAAATATATTATATTTAATATATCTAACATAATTCATGCACGAACTGGATACGAAGTTTATTATTATGAACTTGTTAATTATTACCCTATTCCTAAAACCCTTGAAAAGGGATAGAAATCTAAAAACATTTCTTTTTGTTTTTATTTTAGGTATACATAAATTGACAGGAAAGATGTTATATCATGAAATGCAGTATACTGATATTATGAATCTTGTTGAACATTCAGCTGATAAGATGGAGAATCTTCTAGCTTCTGGGAAATTCCATCAATGGTGACTTGGATGATGAATTTGAGAGTGGATGTTCCATCTGGAATCTCCAGATCAGAGATATAAAAGGCCTCAACCATTGCAGCTCCAAGAAACTGGGCTCCTCTAACCCCATTGTTGAGTTCTTCATTTGAGGATTTGGTTACTTTCTGGACATGTATGTTGTACTGCATGGACAGATCAGCATTCCCATTTTTCAGTTGCCACGTAAGCATCAAACTGAGTTTCCTTGAGCCTGAAGACCATGCAACATATCTGCTATCAATGAGCCATGAATTCGCGGGTGGTAAGATCGGGTTCGTTTCAGGAGTTCTGACTGCAATGTGCCCAAGAACTGCATGGTAGTCTGATGAACCAGAAGAGGATGTTGTCTGTTCAGGCTCAGAAGTAGGTTCAGTCTTGAGCTTATAACACGTGGCACCGATTTCTGTTAATGTGTATCCATCCATCGCTATAGAACTTTCTTGTACAACCCATCCCGGTTTTGCTCCATGCTTTGTGACTTGGTGGGGCATGATAACGCTGTCAAAGTGACTTGCTAAATGGTCGTATGTGTGCAAGGGATCGCTGCTAGATGCTAACAATACTGACTTTTTCTCGTTGGATGCAGACGAGAAGAGAAGAGAAAGACCTATGAACGAGCTCCCGCTAGATTTTACCTGTATCAGTTCTGAAAATGAGCAGCTAAAGAATTCAGGACTAATGATTTATTCAACAAATGTAATTGGCTTACAGAATATGTGAAGTTCAATGGTGAATCTCCCAAAAGAAGGTTTCCCTCGAATAACCTTGTTCTGAAATGAGCACTTTTGTCAAGAGTTCCTCTAAACGTGATGTTCCCTCCACCACTATAAGATCCTTCCTTAAAACTACGAAATCCGAAGATAGGTTAAGCCTCGTGTGTATAATCAAGTAATCTATTCAGAACTTTAAACGGAAAAAGTTTTTAAAACCATGGGATAATTAAGTTTTGATGTGAGATTGTTCGGTGTACTTAAATGTCTGAAGGAATAACGTTGACACAAATGCAACTGGATCACTCGATCAAAATATTCACTACCAATCTAGTATAGAGCAGGATGCTGCAGATATTTGACAATATCATTTCATAAATGGCAATATACGCGAGATGGAATTTAGCAAATAAACTTACTCAACAAAAACTTCAATTGTGCCGGTTGTAGATTCTCCAGAAACAAGGAATGGCTAAGACGAAATCGAAAATATCAGTGAGGCAAATCCAATAAGGTTACAAAGAAACACACAAACAGCTCTGCATTGCATGGAATAGTAATGATTGGGTCACGAGAATTAGCACTACATTCAAAACTATGAAGCATGCTGACATAAACTGAACTGTTTAATCATCAAGATGGAGTATTGGGTTGAACATAGAGGTGTTTATATAGGTTGTATATAAAGTCTGAATTTGCAAAATGTGGAAAATTTGAAGTGTTTCATAATGGACACCAGAAAGTTGCATAAAAGGGAGAAAGAACGTATGGATGGAACTATCAATATTAGGAGGAGCGTACCTGGAAGCTTTGTAAAGAAATGGACACCAGAAAGTCGCATAGAAGGGAGAAAGAACGTATGGATGGAACTATCGATATTAGGAGGAGCATACCTGGAAGCTTTGTAAAGAAATGTTGTTCCAAGGAGCATCTAGTATTTGCACTCCATCAATAAAAACATGGTTACCATGACCCTAGTGACAATAACATGAAAAAGATATATTCTGAGAATAGTTTGCTCTTGGGTACCCCAACTCAGGAATATTGTATCAAATCCAGTTTTGGCGCTCAAACAACAAAAATGAATGGAAATAGCAGCATAATTTGATAAGCAATGTATCAAATTAAAATACTCCATGTTCTGAGTTGATACCTGATCAAAATTTGAGTAAAATGGAAGCACTTGGGGATACTTCTGTGAAATGCCCCAGGATTTCTCTACAAGCCCCCACCAACTGCAAATAAATGACAGAGAAGAAATTCAGAATAAAAAGTTACAATAAGTTTCCATGAGGATAGAAATTCGGTGGCTATACTTTGATATATACTCGATATAATGTATTCCAATCAGACAAAAAACACAATGCTCAGTTTAACAAGACATGTAAGACAGATCTACCTTTTGTTTACCTAATTGCATTAACAAACTATAACTCTGAGTAAGATGGGACTTAATATAACAGTCTGAGTATATCGCTCAGAGCTGCCCCTCACTAAACCAGATTAAAAGGGACAAATTAAGAGAAGAATAATTGCATTTCAGGCAGAAGAGAAATAATTAAAACAGAAACAATGGAGCATGTTGAACCTATTCCAAAATAATAAGGTGTCCTACCGATTTTGAGCAGTCTGAAAATCAGGTGGCTGCTTAGTCTCATACACCCATCCAGGGGCAAATATGGCTGCCGAAACATTATCCTTCTTAATCACATCAAGGGCTGCATTTGTCTGCACAAATCTAACAGGAGTTAGTAGTGCTTTATGAACTCAGACCTTAACAATGTTCAAATGTTGTGAATTTACAACTGACTGTTGAGAGGCAATATAAAAGCAAAATATGTACGGAGTAATTAGTAATTTAGTATATAAACCTACAGTCCATTGCCCACCACCATAAGTATTTCTTCCAAAAACATCAATTCCCATGTAGACATCATACTTTCTTTCACCAGCAACAGCAGCTGATTCCATAGGGTAACTTTCCTGGAAAGTATAGGAGAAAAGATTAAGCAAGAGACCGAGGTAATTTAATTAACCATGATTATAAGGAAGTAAGGAACTCAGAGAAAGAATACCTTCCACGTATAGTTAACGAATATGCCATCACATACATCAAAAAAAGGCTTATTTTTTTCATTTAATTGATCTTGCCAGAGAAGACTGCCATCAGTGGTAACACTATCATACCTGCAGCATAATGATAATGCATAATCAATAATTGCAATGTGGTTCCCCTAAAATTGGGCAACTCAAATAATCACAAGGTTAAGCATCACGACACTTGCCATATAACCAAAGATTCAGGGACTGAGGAATGCATGGTCTCGGTTAAATGGTTGACAAATTCTATCAGGTTAGGGATCTGTCCAACATCCAGCTTAACTTCCATGTTAATCTGGCAATAGACCACAGAATAAATCATACAAAGCAATTTACAGAAAGACAACTTAATTTTTGCATTCCTTGGCACCCAAAGCATACCAGCCAGCCATCAAAGCCTAAAGCAACAGCAAGCTCAGTTAGTCGCTCGGCATACATGAAAGCTGAATCCTTTGTTGATAGTAGTTTGTCAGCAATAATTACCCCTTCATCCCACTCCAGGATAAAAGTCCCAAGTACCTTATTTTAAAAAGACAATTGAAAATTAAAATAAAACTTGAGAGTAATGGCTAAAGATGATAGTTAATTGTGTTAGCTGTTTTGATAAAATGATAGTATTAATTGATGATAGAAAGGTGTTCTGTTTTGTGAGAAGCAAAGCATTTATATATACCTTAACGCCATGCTTGTGAGCAGTGTTGGTCCAGCAAGGAGGCGGCAGAGTAACCAAATTGTGCGAGAAGTAAACGAACACATCCATCAAATACCAATGCCATATAGCATAAGCATCGGGATTACTACCGCCCTGTATCCACTTATCATCAAGGTACCCTCCCTCCATGTCGTGACAAACCAGAATCCTCGGCCGCTCCGGCAGCGGGCCGGCGGGAGCTGCGGGGAGCTTGACGGAGGCCTTGTTGAACGGGAAGTGAAAGGAGTCGAAGTAGGATCTAGACTCGAGCTCTTCCAGAGTTTTCAGCGGGTAAGAGATCGGAATTGATGGAACTGAAGGATCGAACGGCGGTGCATCGCCGGAGGAGTTGGACTCGGCCATTGGATTGAAAGCAGAGACGAAACGGAGGAGAGAATCGAGACGAGATTTGAACTTCGCTAGGGTATGGCGGTGGCGGGATTTTACATATGATCGGAATGGGGATAGCATCGGATAACAAACGCCGGATTTGTAAAGAGCATTGGGTGAGAATCCATGAACGCAGTTGACCGTTGAAGTGAACGTTGAGATACAACTGACTTTAGAGTAAACGGAAAGGAACTTTTGGATTGGAAATTACTCGTCTCCCGCCATTCATGGCGGTGTTTCTCCCGAGGATTCCCCTCGTGGATTAGATCCAAAATAGTGGATAATAGTGATTTTTATTTTATTTTTTTAATGATCATGTGAAATTTGTAATTATTATATGGGTGTGTGTATAATGTAAATTGTAATTTGTGATTTTAGCTAATAAAAGATCATAAGAAAAATGTTAAATTAGCATTTTAAGTTAATCGGACAGTGTAATTGGTCCTCTAAATTAAAAAAAATAAAATTCAATTCAAATATCTTAAACCAGTATAAGTATTCAATTAAATTCAAATTGATTTTTTTAGCATATTAACTCATCCTAAGTTTGACACGTCTCTTTTTAAAAAAAATTTAAACTTGTTATTTATTTAAGAAAAAAAAAATACAGTCATCGATTTTCCAGCGATGATCACGGATAAATGTCTCCTTAATGGACAGTCGTGGTTGTCTAAAAAAGACTGTCATGGCCGTCTTCCAGATCTGGACGGCGGCCATGGCTGTCCAAAATAAATTCAAAGTTTCAAAATTTTTTACGACAATGGTCATCTTTCTTAGACGGCCATGACTGTCTTTCTTAAACACTCACTAATTTAAATTAAACTTATTTTTACTTAGAGGACCCAATTACAGATAATTTAACCATTTTTTCAAGATCATAAGTAAAATAGGTGTCAATACTTATCAATATTCCTTTCGAGAGGCAATGTTTTCACTTTTCAAAAGCTGTCATTGGTTTTTTTTTTTTTTTTTTTTTTTTTTTTTTTTTTTTGAAACAACAACAAGCAAACTTATATTAAATCAACAGCAAGAGCATTACAAATGAAGGAAGGAGGGGCTGAAAACCACTTCTTACGTTCAGACATAGAAACGGACTCCCTTGCTAGGAGATGGGCCGTCCGGTTCGCAGAACGTTTAACAAAAGAGATACAACAATGAGCAAAAAGTGCTTAAGAGATCTTTAATATCAGCTAGAAGCAAATCAAAAGAGGTAACAAAGGCCGGAGATGAAAGACCATGGACAACCACTAAAGAGTCTGATTCCACATGAATGTAATCAATGTGTTGCCGTTTGCACCAGCTGAGAGCTTCCCTGATGGCTAAAGCCTCGGCTTCTTTAGGAGAGAGCACACCAATCCAAGAATTGCAGGCTGCTGAGTGGAAGATACCATGATGATTACGGAGAACCCAACCCAATCCCATTTTCCTGGAGTTAATATCTAGAGCCGCATCGACGTTGAGCTTGAACCACCCTTGCATCGGCCTGATCCACTTCGTGATATACTGGTGCTGGCTGCGTCTCTGTTGGTCATCCACTTCAGTACAAGCTTTCCAATCCCTCCATAAAGCTTTAGAATTCTCCACCACTGCTTTGGCTGGTAGACAGATATTCTTCCACACTTTTTCGTTCCTTGCCCGCCAAATATTCCAGCAAATAATAACAAAGAGACTGGCCCGTGGCGGCTGCAAACTCTCGAAACATTTGGTAATCCACTCCGAACAGCTTTGGGCTTGACTCGTAGCCGGTAAGGGCTCAAAAAGGCGCCAACATTGAGTCGCGAAACTGCATTCAGCTAGAATATGGAAGGCTGATTCCTCAACATTAAGACACAAAGGGCACAAAGGACTGCAATCTATTCTCCGATGACGCAACAAATCTGCAGTTGGGAGACAACCAGAACATACTTGCCAGATAAAAGTCTTTGCTCTCGGCGGGAGGTGAACGTTCCAGATGGTAGACCAACTTGCTATAGGAACACTGTCCAGGTCAAGTGATATGGCTTTATAGCAACTTTTAACAGTAAAGACTCCTTTCTCGTCTTTGACCCAAATCATCTTATCTTCTCTAGGACCCTGCGGGATTGGAATGCTTAGTATAAGCTGAGCATCTCTAGAGTTGAAGATATCTCTGACCACTTCATCATCCCAGCCTGATCCATGATTATTCAACAGAGAGTTCACAGATGCATTTGCAAGGTAGGGAAAAGGAGGAGTGGTGATCCTAGGATTGTTGACGTCTGGCAACCAGTTGTCGTGCCAAATACGGACAGAGAGCCCGTTTCCAATTCTCCATCGACAATTACCTTGGATGATTCCTTTTGTTTCGAGCAAGCTAGCCCAAACGAAGGATGGATTACCCCCCTTTTTTGCATCAAAAAACTGGGAATTCGGATAGTACTTTGCCTTCATTATTTTTGCAGCAAGCGACTCAGGATGGTTGAACAATCTCCAAGCTTGTTTTGATAGCAAGGCTAGATTAAAGTCTTTAATCCTACGAAAACCCATGCCACCCCATTTCTTTGGAACACACAACTTATCCCAAGCCTTCCATCTTAACCCCTTACCCTGCGTATCTCCATTCCCCCACCAAAACCCATTCATGGTTCTCTCAATATCACTTACCAGCCCCTGAGGAAGCAAGAACAAATTCATGGCATATGAAGGTAAAGCTTGAATAACACTCTTCAAGAGGACCTCTCTACCCGCCCTAGATAGAAACCTGTGGTTCCAGGATTTTATTCTAGAAAAAATCTTTTCTTTAATGAACCCCAAGATTTCTGTTTTGTTCCTGCCAACTAGAGATGGTAAGCCAAGATAGTTCCCTGCATTACCCTCCATTCTCACTCCAAGAGTAGCACCTACAGACCCCCTCACTGCCACTCCCACATTTTTGCTAAAATTAAGTGAAGACTTTTCGTAATTAACCAGTTGGCCAGTAGCTGTGGAGTAAGTGTCCAGAATATACTTACAGATGGTACTTTGGCTCTGATTTGCTTTGAAAAACACATAGCTGTCGTCGGCGAACAGAAGATGGGAAATCCTTGGGGCATTACGTGCAATTTTGATTCCATGGAAGGTGCCCAACGATTCCTGCTTCCTAATGAGAGCACTCAGACCTTCCCCCACAAGAATGAACAAGTAGGGAGATAAGGGATCTCCTTGTCTAAGACCACGCTGCGGAATTATAGGGCCAAGCTCATTTCCATCTCTCAGAATAACATACTCCACCGAGCAGACGCATTCCATGATCAACATCACCCATCTTTGGCAGAAACCAAGTTTCAGAAGCATAGCTCTCAACATCTCCCATTCAATCCGATCGTATGCTTTGCTCATGTCGAGCTTTAAAGCCGCATAGCCTTCTGCTCCCTGCCTCTTATTCTTCAAATAATGTTGAGCCTCGAACGCGATCATAATATTATCGGTAATCAGACGTCCGGGTATGAAGGCACTCTGATTCTCCGAGATTAGGCTATTCATGAGGGGCTTTAGTCTGTTTGCTAGGACCTTAGCAAAAATCTTGTACACCACATTGCAAAGAGAAATTGGCCTCAGATCCCCCATCCACTCTGGTTTTGCCTTTTTTTTTTTTTGGAGAATCAAAAGCTGTTATTGTTGTTTGTTTGTTTGTTTATTTTTTTTTTTTTTTTTTTTTTTAAGGTGTTATTGTTGTTTGTTATTTTCAAACTATTTTCAATTGTAGCTACTCCGTATTTGTTAAGAATTGGTAGTTCCAAACATTAATAAAAGCTAATGGACATTAATGCCAAACTTTCACTTCAAGACTGTCAAATGTCACTTCTACTTTAGTTAAAGTGTTCAAGAATCATACTATGTGTCTCAAAACGTAATTCAACTTTTTTTTTTATTTATAATTACAATCTAACATATTCGTAATGTTTACTCAATATGATTATAAAAAATTTTTTGGGGTGAGACCTTCAATTTGAAATTGTAATAATGAAGCCATCAGACAACAAGGTACTCGACAAAATGTAATTCAACTTGTTAAGTTGTTATGCATGATCTAGTTTAGCTGCAGGGTGCGACGTGTAAGTTTTTGCTATGTTGGAAATCCTGAACATGATTAACATAAAAAACATGATCTAATAATCCTACGTCAGCTTTATAAAAGAATGTAAAGTGATATTTAAGTTCGAATTACATCTTCATTATTGATCGAGTTAGTTTTTGAAGTATAATTAAGATATTTGTTTGAGTGCCATATCATTGGCATTCTCATTGAAATGTCGGGACATGTATGGGAGGACTATGTTGGGTGTGAGTTTGGAGGGCCAAATTTAGCATCCTGAAACACGGTGTTTACTATTTACACAAATATAATAAAATACATTTGCGCATTAAAAATTAAATAGATCCTCAACTCAACTTTAGGATTTGTTAGAAAGGTGCTTGACAAAACGATCACATATCTAACAATGATGACTTTTTTTTTTTTTTTTTGGTACGATGGAGGGGCTAGTGCCCCCATTAAGGATGACTTCTTTAGTAGCAAAACAAACTGCCTTCTAAGTGTATAATATATCAAAAACGTATGTAATTCCAACTAAATTGGTTAGTCTATTGACTTGATAATCATAATGTTACAAATTTAACTCTTAATAGAATGATCTATTGACTTTCTCGGCCTAATAAGCTCATTGGCTTGAGTCGGTTACAATGCTGTATTTACCAGCGCACAATCTCAAATTCTTGATTTGATTCGATAACAAATGGAGTTTACCAATATATACTCTTAGATAGTAACCGCAAAAATTTATCTTAAATTTGTAATATATAAAGTAATTAATAATTTTTTTGTTTCTAAAAAGGGAAAGGTTAAACATTGGGGGGCTAACTCTAATTCACATAAATTTCATTTTAATTACGGAGTAATTTTCTTCTTCATTTTATAATCACTCCATAGTTCTTCGTTCGTTTTGCTGCGAGTTATTCCCAGCTCGCTTCATTAATAAATGTTCATGAATTGAAGCTGTAAATCTGCAATTATTCTTTAACCAAACGCTGCATATGAAAATTTCTGAAAAGAGATGATTATAGGCGGCAGCTCTCTGCATCTGAATCTGAGCCTCCTTCGTCTTCTTCCTCTGATCTTCACTCTAGCGATTCTTGACCGGCTCGGAATCAGCTCCGCCTCCGCCTCCGCCTCCGCCTCCTGCGATTACAGTTTCCAGCAAAACAACAAGCTTTACAATTACAACTTAACCTCCCCGATTTCTAATTTCCCCCATGGCGTCCTCAGCGAAGATGGGTACTCTCTTCTCTCTCCCTCTCTCTTTTTCTCCACACACACATAAACACAAACACGTTGTATGCATTATTTTACTTAGTGCTATTTTCTATGACAAAAATGCGGTTCCTTTACCTTAAAATAGTAAAGAAATCCTAATTTGTAAGTATTCCATTGATATCCTTGTTGGGTGAATGGGGAGTCTAATTAGTGAAATGTTTGATGTTTATATTGTGCTTTTAGGTTCTATAGAGTGGCAGCTAATGGAACAGTGATTTGGTTTCAGGTTGGCTGATTTTATTTTTTTATTTATTTGTAAAGATAGTTTCTTTATATGAAGATTGAAGACCCATTTTATATAGTTTGATATATGCACAAAAAAGCTTAAGTAATGCAGATTGTAGCTAAGCATTCTTGTGGATAAAAGTGAATTGGTTTAACTAGGAGTTGGTAGCTTTGAAGGCAGTGGTTTTATTTTATACTAGCCAATTAGTCTTCTTTGGGTAAATTATGATATATTTACTAGTTAAACTGGCGGAATGACTTTTCGTTTTTCTTGTTGTTATCTCCCTTTCATCTTCCTGTATGTGGAGCAGCTGTGTGAGACAATGCTTTTCAACCATGATCCTCCTATGTGTCTTGACTGCGTGGTGAGTGCTTTCTAGTTGCACCTGATCTTCTTCTTTATCGAAGGTTTCATGAAGTGGTTCAATTTACATAACCTTTTAACATTGCTAAATGAAGCATTTGTCTTATTTATTGTTGGAAATCAACTAATTAAGTGGTGTGTTAATCCTCAAGCCTATATTCTGGAGGCATCCTTGTCTTTCATGTCCCACGCTCATGATTAGTTGATGCTTTAGATTATAAGTTGGCTGGCAGTCTTGTTGAACATTTTACAAAAAACATATTTTTCACCCGACTGATGCCACTGGCATGCCATACTCCAGCTCCTAGGAATGATATATAAATCTTGTTTTGCCACTGTAGAATCAATCTTATGTAATAGAATGTTCAAATCTGTATCACTTTCAAGTAAATTCTGGGCTTTGGGAATAAATTTTTGTTAAAATTTTTAATATACATGGCTCAATTTGGGGAAGACATCTATAGGGTAATGTGTAAATAAGGTACTAAACTGATTCTGCATTAGTAGTTAGCTGAAGGTTATACCTCATTTATTGGATTATAAGCTATGCAAGAAGCATGCAAATCATTTGAAGTGCCAGTATGTCTGTGTCCTAACAAGTAATAAGTGCCAGTGTTCTCTCATTTTCTATGAAGTGATAGCTGTCCAGTTTACTTGAATATCCTTGCACTTATTCTTCTAGGACTGTGGTGGTGGATCTCGTTGTGGCATGGGTTGCAGTGCACTTGCATCTAGCATCATTGGAGGTGAGTGCTCCTTGAGCTTCTGTACATGTAGGATCAATATGAGATCACGGTTAGGAAGCTTTGAGATCCAGTGGTTTGCAATGATAAACCATTGAACCCTGTTCAATAATTGGAATGCATCAGTCATCCACTCTCAGATGTACAAAGTATTAGAATATGGGTGGATGCACACAGTTCTGTGAGCTTATGACTGTCAGTTTTTCTTTCGTGCTGCTTCCTTGATTTTAAATCAAATCTGGGAATGTGAACTAAGATGGCATAAATGTTAATATAATTGTTGTGTATGGCTCATATGCAATCAAGAGGTGATAGATGCTTGAGTGGAGTGAGAGCATTTGTCTCCAAGTATGGGGTTCCAGTTAAATGGGTTGGGGGTGTGGAGGCGGAGCCCCTGCGGTACAGTAAATGGGTTGTAAATTTACCGTGAGTATAGGGTTACATATAAATATTGATGCTGTAATTCTAGGATGTATTATAAATTTATAATTATAATTATAATAAAAGAACCGTTTTGCTCCCGTGGACGTAGGCACACTGTCGAACCATGTAAATCCTTGTGTTCTTTATCTTTCTGTTTTTTTAATCTTTAATCTTGCCCAGATTTCTCAACAATAATTCTCTAAAAAATGTATTCATTCTTACTGTTGACTGCAGTGCTTCCATTTTGTTAAATACAATATTGGTATGGTTATTGCAGGTTATCCTGTGTGCGCTACTCTTGGACGTCCATCAACTACATCTATTAGCCTCATAGGTTAACTTACATGTAATTTTTGCTTATTTCTTCGATATCAATGAAGAGAAGGCTGCCTTCATTTACTTCAAGTGGGGCAGCTACTTCTTGTTCTAAAATAATTGCCAGACTGTTGTTTAAGTTGCCCGGGATGCTGCAATCAAGGCTGTATTTTACCCTTCTACATCTGAGTTAGTGATGCTAATATTTTTTCTTGGATCTCTTGATGTGACAGACAACAATAGTCCCCTCAAAGGTATTGTTGTTAAGACGTACCACACTGCATTGAACACGAACTGTTCACTTGCTGTCTCTGTTGTTTGTGATGATGCTGCAACTGTGAGGGCCTTTTCCTCTTTTGTTTGGCGTTCTTCACTACATGTACATTTCTTTATATAATGGTCTATGATTTTCTTAGAATTACTTTGTATCTTTGACAGGGTCCTCAAACGCTGGAAAAAGTTGGGACTTGCGATTTTGTGAGTACTTCAAATTTCTACGAGTGTAGCTTTGCTGTCTAGTACTATTTTCCACCGTCCTTGTCTATATATTATGTGATAAGGAGCATATAGCGAGTTTTTTTTTTTTTTTAATTGCCTAAACTTCTGTAACTTTCATGGCTTTAACTGGCCTCGAATGATGATTTATTCCGCTTATAAACCACAGTTTCAGTTCATATAGTAATGTGTATTATAGGGGTCAAAAGTATAAACAGATATGGCATTCTTCCTTTTCTAAGTGCCACTTGTACATCTAGTTTATCCGGTACACTCTAAGTTTATGCCTTGCGAATGCTGACAGGCCACAGAACTAAGGCATCCTTCTGGCTGCGGGGGAGTCATATCGGCTAAAGGGAAAGGGCTGGGCTGGTTTGGCACTTTATTGATCATGTAAGGCTAGTAGATTTGTCCCACCGGTTTATGTTGTCTCAAATAATGTATAACCGCTACTATATCATGGAAGACAACTTCTATACCTAACTCAATTTTGCTTTGTAGAATCCTATGCCTTTTTGGAGCTTACCTCTTGGGTGGGATGATCTACCGATACTTCTTTCTGCACATTCGAGGCATAGATGTATGTAATCTTTTTGTTTTTCATGACCTCCTCTTACTTTATCAAAGGAAGTTCTGAACTTTCGTTCTCATCTGACTTTATTCTTGCACATTGTAGATAATCCCGAACTTGGAATTCTGGTCCAGCTTACCACATAAAGTACAGGTATTTCACTAACGCTAAAGTCCATGATATCTTTTGCTTTTCTCGCTTTCTCTTTCACCACAGAAGTTTATATCTGCATGTTCTCTTTGCAGAGCTGGTTTCAATCCATAGCACAGAGGTTCAGAGGACCTTCTCAGCATCACCGGAGCACGTATTCTCCTGTGGAATTTTGAACATCGACATCTTCTTAGCGAGAAACCGTTCACATTATTACTCGAGTCTGTCTCTGCCACACTTACACTCCCGACATCTGCATTCCGTTCAAGCATTCGCTTTACTCTTGAAGGAAATGTATGTGTATTTCTTCACGCTGATCAACCATTGTTGCAGAACACGAGTTCTTGAGAAGACTGAGGCTTTTGTTTGTAATTCTGTGCTAGTTGAGTAGTTGATATCATCATTTTTTGTAGGTCATTGGCAACACTTTGTTATATAGATCAGACAGGGTTTTTTGCAGCCGCTAAAACGTCTTATAATAATAAACTATTGTGAATTGATTCATTCTATATTCTATACCTACTTCTTGGAAGTAGGAATTTCTTTGATTTATGGGAAAATCAGCAGCCACGGTCTGAAGGTGTTTTTTGAGTGAAGTCTGTCTTGTAACTTAACTAGCAAATGATCACAAAGAAGTAAATCAGTATATGTAGTTCATATATAACTGATCAATTTAAACAATAAGGCATATAAACAACTCCATTTGGAACAACTTGTATTTGGTGGATTACATCTCTAAACATTATTATTGTACCAATAAATGCTATTACACATTAGTAAGGATTATGTCTCTAAACACGTGCCTTTTTTGCCACATGATTACATAACCAAAAACAAATATATTTTTCTTGTTTGGGTTGTACATATTATCATAAGTTACATTAAATATGATCATGGGAGTTGAACTTGAAGATCATCACATAATGAAAAAGTGAATCAGTTGAGCTATATATACTCCGAACTCTCCATCATCATCAATTAGCTAGCTATGTATATATATGTATATGGTATTGATACATGCATCTGATGATCTATATCATATATATATAAAAGAAAGCTCGAACGTAGAGATGATGCATAAATCTGGTTGCCCAGATTTCAATGGAAAGTTTTCTCCTTTTCTCTTCACCTTACTAGCCTTCATCGTCCTCGCCGCCATCTTCTACCACAGACAAGACAACCTCGGCGACATTTTTTGCCTCCAAGATTACTCCAACCAAACTGCTTCAACCACAACAACACCATTCAGTGAGTAATAAACTAAGCTAATAACGCTATAGATTCATCTGATAGATGATCGACTTTCTGAGAACTCATGACTTACGTTTTGTTTTTAATTTTAATTGAGAGACGACGACGACGAAAAAGCTGCCGTTTGCGATCGGAGAGACGGAGAAAGATTGCGATGTTTTCAGCGGGAAGTGGGTGTGGGACCAGGAGAACCGACCGTTGTACGAGGAACATGAATGTCCGTACCTTTGGCGGCAGGTGACGTGTCAAGGACACGGCCGCCCCGACAGCCAATATCTTCACTGGAGATGGCAACCTCATGCCTGCTCTCTTCCCAGGTCGTTCCTTCTAAGTTATTCAGTCTAATCAAACTATTTAATAAGCCTAGTCAACTTGTTATTTATATAATTATTATATAGTTTTGATGCAACGATGATGTTGGAAAGCCTTAGAGGGAAGAGGATGTTGTTTGCTGGAGATTCCTTGAACGGAGGGCAGTATATTTCCATGGTTTGTCTCCTGCAAAGAGCCATCCCTGATGACCATGCCAAATCCTTTGTAGGTAATGAATCACTAGCCATTTTCACAGCTAAGGTAAGTGAAACTATTATACTATACCCAGTGGTTTAATTTGTTTCCTTTATTTTAATGTATTTGATCTGACTAAAAGTTTAAACTGGTAATGATACAATAATAATCGATCGAGAAGGATTACAATGTGACAATTGAGTTCTACTTTGCACCATTTCTTCTCGAGGCATCGACAAACAAAATTGTTCGCAAAGATTCTATAGATGCCAATGGGCAGCATTGGAAAGGATTCGACATCATAGTATTCAACACTTACGTTTGGTGGATGTCTGATGCAACTGTCAAACTCCTGTGAGTAAATAAGAACATCTCTAATAGTTGTAGTTTTTGAGAATGTTTTTTTACATGTATGACGAGGAAAGAGTATATGAGAGGGAAGGAAAAAAAAAAAACTGAAAAGAAAAAAAATTAAAATTTTTTTTTTAATTAAAAATCTTTAGATTAACACTCGTCAGTGCACGCATCTGGCTGGGCAATGTGTTGGGCCTCACACGCCACAAATGGCGCTGTTGTGTTGTGGTGGGGCCCACTTCACTGTCAAAAACTAAGTGCTTGCAGTGTACACTCAAATCTTTTCTCTCCTCTACATAAGCTTGACTTCCTCAAAAATCACAATTGGAGATGCCCTAATGTTGGTAATGGCATTTGCATTTGAATCTCTTAATGTGATGATATGTTATAATATTATTTGTGAAGGCAATCGGGGTCATTGGATGATGAAAAGAAAGACATAATAAAAGTATCTCCTGAGGAAGCTTATGAGATGGCAATGAAAAATATGTTGAAATGGGTAAAGGAGAATATGGATCCAAAGAAAACAAGAGTGTTCTTCACTAGCCTGTCACCTCTTCATCCATGGTGACTTCTCCATTCTCCGATCCATATGTTTTCAAATGTTAAAAATGTATTAATAAACGTGTTATCTTATCTGTTTTTCTGTCTGAAAAAAAATTTCAAGATTTTTTTTTTCAGTTAATAAATTTTGAGTATATGGTACGTGATTTGTCTCCGTGCAGGAGTATAGAGTGGGGAGGTGATCCAGATGGGAACTGTTACAACGAGACAACACCTATAAAAGACCTTAATTTCTGGTCGATGACTACTAAGAAAAGCATAATGGAGGTGATTAAACAAGTGTTTAGCGAGTCAAGAGTGCCCATCACATTTCTAAACATCACACAACTCTCGGGTTATAGGAAGGATGCCCACACATCGATCTACAAGACACAATGGAACCCTTTCACTGGGAAGGAAATAGTTAACCCAAAGACCACCTATACTGATTGCACACACTGGTGTGCCCCTGGCCTTCAAGATACTTGGAATGAGCTTCTATTTGCTAAGCTTTTCTATCCTTAATTAGAGATGTAATTGTTGTCAACAATAATGGAAAATATTGAGCCATTTAATTTGTTTTGTTTAATTTTTATAAGTTCGAAGCCTAAACTTAATTTTTGGAGGAAGTAAATCGCAAGATGTATCACAATTGATTTACAAGTCCTTATAACCTTATGGAGAAGGTAAATTACAATATATAAATGTCATGGACGCTGCTATCTACTGACTCTTCTTTGTCATCAGTGGACTTGGTGGTGGCTAAGATCACATCTTTCTTTTTTTTTTTTTTTTTTTTTTTTTTGGTAAACCCTACCTTGTAATCCTGATCGGCAAATAACGACTATAAGGAAGTAATCGATGTAAGTTCCATAAGTGACCATTTTATATCAAGAAGACTAATATGTCACTTCTGTTGGAATTAAATTTATAACATTGTATTTACTAAGTCAATAAATTAACTTGACTGAATTGCCTGGCTAAAAGTCACTCTTCTTCTTAGATGAGGATGTTGTTGAAATTCTTTTTTCTTTGATGGAGGAAAGAAATTGAAGCGAAAACTTACAATTCCAATGTCTCTCTTGTTTGGAATAAAAACAAAAAAAAAAATATTATAGAAAGAAGATATTATGATAAAATGATACTATATATAGTAATACTTTATCTTATCAAATACGGAGTATATATATATATATATATATATATATATATATATATATATATATATATATTGTTTAGCCCAACAAATGAAATAATGAAAGCAAAAATATTTTCCTCCCCCGACAAACTGTTACTCCATATTTTCCGTTGTACGATCACTCACTACTGGAAATTATAGAATTTTCGACGACTTGAAAATTATCTTAAATCAAGTAGAAAGTCTTGTTCCGACCACTTTTGGTATTCAGAAAAATCTTTATTACTATTTCCGATCACTTTTTAGTTTCAACTTGATTTAAAATCATTTTCAGGTGGTCGAAAATTTCATAATTTTCAGTAGTGACTATTTCACTTAACAGTAATTAGTGATCGATAGTGAAGGATTGTGCAATTATTGTATGTTTAAGCAATTTTTTTTTAAAAATATATAATTATTTCATTATCTGCTTCTTCATTATCTAAGATAGTCAGAAGTGGTGACCAAATTGAACCAATTCAACATCCTAGGAACTCATATTATATTATCACAACTAGACAATTTTAGTTGAGTTGGTCGATTTTTTTCTACTTCACAGAACTATATTTTGAACTCGACTCGCTACATAAATAAATCAAGTCAATTTTAGTATCGAGATTCAACACCAAACTGAACAATTTTGTGTACAAGGTGCCCATTTCAAACCTAAACCCCCAACGTTTGTGACAAGGATCGAATCTCCACCCTGTAGTTAGAAAAAGGTCTTAAGTGAATTTTCTCATCCACTATACCAATATTTTGAGGTCTAATTTAACTTTGTTTATGATTATACGTGTGTGTGTGTTATTAGCGTTCTTTCCATATGCGTCATCACTCGTACAACAAACACATATTATCCTTTACAACTAACAATAATATTTATCAATTTATCAGTTTAATGTTTAACAATGTCAATATGAAACTACAAATTGAATGTCACTAATTAGTGGACATTACGTTATTTGTCCCATTTGCAAATTGGGCCAAATCAGCAGAATTCACAAAGAAAAGAAAAAGAGATACAATCTAGTGTAGTAGTATATCAATGACGACCTATAGTTTAAGACTGCAACAAATTTGCTCAATTTTGTTCAAGTAACATCTATCTCATATTGGAATATTGTAAATGAAACATAATTATTAGGCAAGTTTCATCATTTTTAAGTGTGATAACAATTTAACTCAAAATTAATCAAAATTCATGTGATACGATACAAAGAGTTTAACAAAGAAAATATGTTGAACAGAGGCTTAGAGGCCATGCCCAACAGGACATTGATTGTTATGCAAGTATAAGAAAAAAAGTTATGCTTTGCTACCGGCTATAGCTTTTGACATAGTAATTAATAAGCGCTAAATCCTTATAATAGATTATGTATTGACTGTATCGAGTACAACCATGCGTGATATATCTTATTGTATTAGGTACTATTAATACAAATGCTGATAATATCCAGTACTATAAATTATATCTGATACAATGCTAATCCACATTGTAAACTTTCCAAATAAGAAAATATATAATAATAGCAAATGGGAATATAAATAGAAGCAATAAAAATAGGCAAACACGAGGAACTTGAATAAAGGCCTTGTTGCCCCACTTGCACGCCAAATTGCAGGAAAAAAATTCATCTGCCGAACACAACATAAAATATTGCAAAAAAAAAAAAAAAAAAAAAAAAAAAAAAAAAAAAAAAAAGAGTCACCCCACTGGTTGCAAGTTGCAGTTAATTTGCAGACCAAGTTGTAATGGATTTGAATGGTCTGTTCCTTCTTCTTCCATCACAACAACTAAGCAGGAGGAATATATATGATCAATAATCCCACCCCACATACAATTTCTTTTTGACTATATCAATTGTGTGACAGTCTTTGACGATGCATTTACTTACTCGAGAAGTTTTCTATTTTTCTCATGAAATAAAAAATTAGAAAAAATAAAACAGAAAATATGTTTACTGTGTAGTGTGTACCTTTATCCAATTATTATTATTATTTGGGCACGGCAACATTGGAGTGTGTGTGTGTTATCATATCTCAACTATTGATTATCATTTTTATTAAATTTAGAATTTATAAAGACACACCTTACTATAATAATATAAAATTATTATAAATCATTACTTATATCCGATCCCTTGTCAGAAAGGGCTTTCTGGAAATTTTTCTAGTTTTTTGGTCATTAAATGTAGCAATCAAACTCCTTCTACATGTGATAGAGTATGAAGTATGAAGAATCCCCGGCCCCCGCAGGATATGTTTGTTTATTTGGGACAACCTCTGATGAGCTAACCATTTTCTTGTTTTTTGGGCACATATAACAAATAGCTATTAAAATATTAAGGATGTATATACCCTTATATCATATTTTTTATGGGAAAGTTATTGTATCAATCATCACTGATATTTATTGTATTTAATATATATATTTTTTTAAAAAAAATTTGATTGTATTCAATACAGTCATAACTAGTGTTCATATATCTTATAATTTTCAAATTGAGAAGGTATAAGAATTCATCAATTTTCAAAGTAAACCAAAGGCAGCTATATATCTCTATTATATATATATATTCTCTCCCATGCATTTTCTTTCTTAATTATCATAGCCATCCACACTCACAAATTAATAAAAAAAAAAAAACATGGTCCAAGAATTGAAAAGAGAGTAAAAAATATATGTGTCCTGTTTGGTAACATAGTTAGCTTATCAATCAATTTTAGTTTGTTTAATCACTATTAGCTGTTTGACTTGGTTCATAAAGTTGTTACAGCTTATTGTTTAACCATAAGAGTGTTTGATTAATTAACTTTTTGTAACAGCTTATTGTTCCAAAATGTAAAAATTCAAAAAACTGCTCAAAATAACTTTTTCGATTAGCTTTTTGATAAAGTCATTTGGTATGTAACTAATGCTCTCAACTAATCAAACTCACTAACACAATCAGCTAACAGCTATTTACCAAACACTTTATGATCAATTAACAACCTAATCTCCTATGTTAACCATGATTACCTCAAATATGTTTTTTTTTTGAAGTGTAATATGTTTCTCTTTTTAATTTTCTATTAAGTAATACGGAGTATGTAGTATTTATTGAACCAGTCAAAATTGTTGGTCGTCACACATCACTTGACTCTGTAAAATTCACAACCCAAAAAAAAAAAAAAAAAAAACATTTTATATTACATCTTCCAAACACTACCCATACCATGAAATCTCCAGTCAAGACATCATGGGCAACAACTCACTACAGATCAAGAAACACAAGAAATTGTATATATTGTTAACTCAGGAGATTGAAGAAAATCCCCCAAGCAAAAATAAAAGATTGAAAAAAAAAAAAAAAAAAAAAAAAAAAAACAAGAAATAATGTAGTATATGTGTTTGGTTACAAAACATCATACGAGATCTTCATCACACCTTTATAGTCTTCAACGAACTTCTATCACTGTATTAGTAGTATGACTTTTCAGTTCTTGATCTGAAAACAACAAACAAAACGTTCTGTCCATTATCAAAAATGGTAAAATAGATCATAAAATTTAATATTATACAATCTTTTTGATACTAGTACAAAAAACATCTCGTCTGTCATAATGTACAATAGGCATTTGTACTGTTACAGAGACGCGAAAAGTATAAATTTTAAGCTGTCTTGGTTGATCCGATCACGAATTAATGATGAAGAATTCACAAATTTAAGGTTGAATATAATGTTACGATGATTTACTTGGAGAGTTGTTGTTGGAGTTCTCGGCGATTTGCGCTAGCGATTGAAGATTACAACGTACGATGGTGTCGACGAAGACGCAGGTTTCGTCGTTGGTGTTGCCGGGAGGGACGTCGACGACGTAGGATTCGACGACGACGGTGGTGTTGTTGTGGTTGTGGGCGTGGAGGGTGGTGACGGAGCGGTAGTTGTTGAGGCGGTGATCGCCGCCGACCACGGCGAAGCTGAGCACGTGCTTCTCGTCGTCCAGGATCTCGAGGCGCTCGGTGCTGGAGGCGGCGGGGAGGCCGGACACCACGCGCACCTCCCGGAGCGTGCCCACGTCCCCGTCGCCGACAATGACGTGGCAGCTCTTCAGGAAGTGCTTGTACGCCTGCGGGTTGTCGAAGCGGCGTACCAGTCCCCACACCGCCTCCGGCGGCGCCGCCACCTCCTGCACCACCGCCGAGCAGCACTGCCCCGCCCCCACCGCGTGCGTGTGGTACTGCAGCACGTGCTCCGGCACCGAGATTGACACCGGAATCATCCACCTCGCCGCCTGCGCCTGCGCCTGCTTATAAACACTCCCCACCCCCGCCGCCGCCGCCGCCGATCGGTGAAGCTGAAGCGCAGAAGGCATCTCTCTCCCTATTCTTTTCTTCTCTACCTAGTTTTTCTTTATGGTTGAAAGGACACTTATGAGAATGTCTTTATATATACACACACAATTACATTATCATATGTTTGGAATTTAATATCATATAATTACGATAATCTTCGTCGTCATATATTTATATATACAAAAATGAATTATATATATAATGGGTTGATCTTTCTTTGATAGATAGTAGAAGAACCTAAAAGACAGATTAGCGCACAGCTTACGCCATGCGACTGCAAGTGGATCATCAACTTGCAAATATATGTATTTGGACGGAGTCTAAAGCCAAATTGCCATCTATTTTCCGTGTAATTACGTTATATGCCCCGTGTGTAGGGATGGCAACGGGGCGGGGCGGGGGCGGGGAGTATACTCCCCGTCCCCGTCCCCGAAACCCCAACCCCGTCCTCATCCCCGTCCCCATCCCCGGCGGGGAATTAAAAATAGTCCCCATCCCCGTCCCCGCGGGGAATTTGGCGGGGACGGGGATTCCCCGTCCTCGATCAATTCTTAGTTAAAATATAAAATTAGTGTAATTTTTAATTTTAAAATAAAACTTTAAATCTTAATTTTAAAAAAAATTATATATATATATATATATATATATATATATATATATATATATATATATATATATATTACATAATGCTACGGTACACAGTAGCAATGCTACTGTACACAGTAGCATTAAGTAATATATATATACTATTATAACTAAAATAAGTAGTATTAGCAATGTACTGTGTACCGTAGCATTATGTAATATATATATATATATATATATATATATATATATATATATATATATATATATATATATATATATAAAATTTATTTTAGTTATAATAATTATTCGGGGACGGGGTGGGGCGGGGAGGGGTATCCCCGTCCCCATCCCCGTCCCCGCCGGGGAATTCAAAAATTCCCCATCCCCGTCCCCGATCCCCGAAATTTTTTCCCGTCTCCGTCCCCATCCCCTACGGGGCCGGGGATCCCCGACGGGGACGGGGCATATTGCCATCCCTACCCGTGTGTTCGATATACGAGGTTTCCCGGTCTGCCCATTCATTATCATCAACCTACTCAAAAATAACGACTTGTGTCTGTACGGGCTTAACTTACTGGTTCAGTAGGTAATATTTAAGAGAAGGGATCAATATTTTAACTTTGACAATAACAGTATAGGGATTATACTTAAAATGGACACTTCTCTTTTACACACCGATATTTGACCGTGTTTGCTAAGCCATTGAATCACCGTAATTTTCAAATGCTTTGTCGGATCAGGGTGTGAAGAGTCATTGGGGCAACTTGTGACAGTTGGTTAGTAACTTAGTATAGATTGTGCTAATATATGTAAATGTGTGAAGCATCTTGTCTGGCGTGAATGACCGTGCACTCTTATCCCTTAAGAGAGATCATAAGTTCGAACCTCCTCTTGTATGGAAAAATTATCTGGCCAGCATTTTGTCGACTTGAAGGTGTCTCTTACAGTTAGGGCCTTAGATTGGAGTGATGACTATGATATGTGTGTATCATGTTAATTATAAGCTTAGAACAAAATCATTCTCTTGAGTAAAAAGCAAATCATATCTCAATTAGTATTGTACTATCATAGCAGCGAGATACATAGTGTTGTATGCAAAAAATAAATATAATTGTTGATGTAAATATTTTTCTTTCTTAAAACTCAGCTCATAAATATATAAATGCTTTGCCATCATTGAAATCTTATCAATAAAATTAGTCTCAAATGCATGTGTGGTTCTAATGGAAACATGTGATTAGACCAAAAATAAAAAATCTCATCTGGCATTTGTATTATTTTATTTATCCAGTTTGATTAACAAGATTTAACTGAAATTATTTATAATTTAATGTTTTATAATATTTAATTTAATATTAGTATATAATACTTGTATATTTAGAAACTACATCAAAAGTATTATAGTTAAAAAATATGTTCTCTTACCAAAAATATACTATACACTTTGCAACACAAAAGGAAAAGTTGAATTGAAGAGAATATTATGATTTTTCCCTAAATCAATGCATGTGGTTCATATTTTTTATAAAGTAATAGTAATATCACTATCATCCCAAAAGTCATTTTAAAATGTTTAATATTTGTCGGGAAAGCGCTTATCACTATGTCAAAAATTATAATTAATAGCAATAATATTATAGTCATTTGTATGGACAACTCAATTGATTGTAGAGGTAAAGTTTATCATAAGAGATCAAAGATCGAGTCTCACTAGCGGCAGTGTGAAACAATAATATAATATTAATTAAATTAAATATGTATTAATTATAAAGGACTAGTTTGTGAAAAGAAAATTTCAAATCGTTAAATATTACGGAGTAATTAAAGTAGATATGTATTAATGATAAAGGACTAGTTTGTGAAAAGAAATTTTCAAACCTTTAACGTTATGGTCAAAGTTTTAAAATTAGTAATTTGATGCCAAAACTTTATAATTAATACTCCATATATACAATATTAGTAATTTAATGCCAAAACTTTATAATTAATACTCCATATATACAATTTAAGCTCATTTTTTACTCAATCTATACAAATTTTGATATGATTTATTTTGAATCCCCTTATATTTTTCAGCCATAAAAGAAATTGATTTCAGTCAATTGAGTCACATCTATCCATTTATTTATTGTTTTCACTAATCTTCAAAGTCTAAGCGGTGATAACCTTTAAATTTAATGTTCAAACTTATAAAAGAAAAGATTGATATCATTTTCCATTACCTATTAGTTATTTTCTCAAATCCAGAAAAAAAAAAAAAACTATTTAACCTATTTTATTGTCTAATTATTAACTTTTTAAATTAATTTTTAATTAAATTATTTTTAAAAATTGCCAAGGACCTTGTGGTCTAATGACACCAAGTTGCTCCCTTATATGGGAGGTTGTGGGTTCAAGTCTTAATGGAGACGATGTTGACTCTTTGTGCTTCATTAGATTGAGAAAGTAGCTATGAACAGATATTACATTGTAATAGAGTCAATAGTATTAAAAAAAAATTATTTTTAAAAATTTGGTGGGCCAACTTGCCAAGTTGTGGGCCTTCATGCGTTGGTGTGGGCTAGGGCCTTTTTTAGGCCCGTCCCGCTATGACAATACTATATTTAATTATTGTAATTTAATACTTCATATAATGAGCAATTCATTGATTATATTCTTTCATATAGACACTATGCAACCAGTACGTGCTCGATCGATAGATATTGACAAAAATTGAATTCATAATCTTGTGATATAATAATCATACTTCATCCACTGAATTATGAAACACTTTTTCTTTAATTTTATTTTATGTGGTTTGGATTGTATAATTTCTCAATATTCCTTCCCACCAACTTTTGTTTCGTCAAACATAGTAATTAATTGGTCCTTTTCATAAAATTTCACATGCCTCAATGGTAATGACATCTTCAACTTGAAGCTCCTTTCCAATCCAAAACAATCTTTACTTTGACCGCTAGCTACCCCCACTTCTCTCTCCATACCCACATCAAGTCATCAACTTGATGGTCTTTTTTGGAAAAAAAAAATATTTTTATTATTTTTATTTTTGCTTTCAGTTGTAGGTAGGGTGAAAGTTTGATCCTTACTATTAACATTGGGCATTTGAGTTTTGGTTTGGGATGAGCTCTATATCTGCAAAAGTGTATTGAAGATTAATTCAAATTATTAAAAAAAAAAATTGAAGTGACAATCTCGCCTAGTCTATGTATAAATGGTACAAATGTAACAAGTTATACCTAGTACTGGATATAGTTCTTTACACGTGATTATACCAGGTGCAATGGTACATACACCACTAAAATCTCCTTAAAATTATATGTGGTAGCACAATGAGTGTGCGTGCATTATATATACTTAACCAATAAAGAAGTGATTTATATTATTAGCAAAGTACAAAGTGCAACAAATAATGTACACTGGGCATCAATATTAAGTACACCTAACGTCATTATTAGTTGCACCAAACGTGATCATTAAGTGCACCAATGTTAACAAGGTAAATTACTTGCATATTATTTAATGAAAATGATTGCACTTGTAAGTGATTTTACTTGCATTTTTTACTTGCAAACTTGCATCGGTCACTTGCATTTTTAACACATTTTACTTGTACCAAAGTTCGAGTTATTTATGAAAATGCCACCGCGCCGTTTTTTAAAATTACATATGATTAGTTAAATCTGAACACGTGGACGGTTGCTATTGGTTCTTAGTTCTTTCGTGGACATCCATTCTCACCTGAGCGCGCCCTGTGTGTGTGTTACTTTACAAAGAATGAATGATACAACGAATAAATTAAGTTATTACGGATAGTTATTTATAAAATTATTATCGCCTCTTTTTATTATTTATGATAATAAACATGATATTTTTTTTAATGCTGTAATTTTTTAAATCTTATTTGTAATAAGAAATTGAAGTATACTTTTATATCTTATTGTGACTGGATCAAACATATATCTAACTATTTATGAAGTTTCTATCCGTCGGTCCAATCTATATAAATAGGAATCAACCTATACCATGCATTATATATTGCTTGCAAATTGCAATTTTCTTTTGCCACTTGTAGAGTTGTAGACCAATATTATCTTCACAAATTTGTTATATATATATATATATATATATATATATATATATATATATATATATATATATATGCAAATGGAAATATATAAGTTATTTTGTGCAACTTTATCTAATAAACCTTCATATATATGAGCATGACAGGGTCCATTGATCAATTCAAGACAAAAAACTAATAATTTAACATAAATTTTAACGTTGTTAAAGTAAATTGCTTGGTAAAATAATTATTTGGATATGTAAATATATAGGGAATTAAAAATGAAGTTTTTGACCCCTAAATTATAGTGTTCAAGTCTTTTAATTCCCCCCCTCAATTATTATAGGTGCACCACATTTTCTCCTTGATCACCAATTATTTACTGATAAACCCACCAAAAAGGTAAAGAAAAATGAAGGATATGATGATAGAGAGAGGTTGGCATGGAGTTGAAAAAGTTTCCATGCGTAAATTCAAGTTGGGATATTTTTAATTATTATTCATCAATTCTTTAATTTATATTCCAAGTTGATATGAAAATTGAAAAGAATTGAGTGTTTGGCTATCTATAATACTACTAAGAAATAAATTAAATAAACAAATGGTTTATATTTTAAAGTAATACTCATTATATGTGCAATCGAATTGACATTCAAATTATTATATGTCAAGATTTAGGTAAAAAAAAAAAAAAGGATTAATTGTAATATATTATAATATACACGCACACTTCTGAAAGTATGTGTACAGTGTGTATGTACGTATGTGTATGCGTGTATATATAAATTTTACCCTCTATTTTTCTAAAAAATAAAACCAAATTAAAAAGTATTTACTTTGATCAACTAGGTTGAGAAAAGAATATGACAAGCTCCCACATCGGCTAGGTAAAAGATTGTGGAGGGCCGCTCTTATGTTGAAGTTAAGCCTGCACTCTTGAACTAGCTAGCTTTTATGGTGGTGTTATGGTCTTAATTTGAGTATTGTATCATTGACGTTCTTGCTAAGAGTACAGTGAGTGGCGAGAGAAATGGCTACTTGGTGCCTGATAAGGTTCAAAGGGTTAGGCAATACGAGTATGGAGTGCGAGTTGCCAACTCCAAAATATAAGCTATCCAGAGCCAGAGTGGAGTTGTTGTACAATCCCACATCAGTTCTAGATTGTAGAACAGTAATTAAGGTATCTCTAACCTTATATATACTTATTAACAATTTACTTACCAACTGTCCCAAATTATGAATTTACAACCTATTTGATATAACCACCGACAAGTCAACCTTATCCATTGAGGGACAAAGTTCAAACCCTGATTTGTCTATATGCTAAAGCCATTTGATCGCAGAATATTCACAAATGGAAATAAATAAAATTGTATGTACAAATTAAGAAATACAAATTTATGTGTATTTAGACTTTTCTTCCACAATACATTGTATCTAACATCGGAAACATTCATCATACGATAAGGGTGAATAAATTGTCTAAATACATTAGTTATTGCAAATGGCATTAATTATGTTCTAAAAATAAAAGTTAATTACTTCCCTTTTTTCTACCTAATGAAATTCCCATTGATTTAAAAAGCCAAGTTGACTCATAAAGCCAACAATAAAAGATTAAAAGGTGTTAAACAATAGCATCAAGGTCAAGAAAATGAATCTTTAGAGAGGCATAGTGACATCAAAAGAGAGTTGAAATAGTGGTTAGCTTTATATATATATATATATATATATATATATATATATATATATATATATATATATATATATTCAAGTTAGGTGGGTATTAATGTATAAATATTTGACAGGTCTATAAGTTAATTGAGACACATTCTGTAATTTATTTTGTCCATCAATCTTTTTGACAAGAACAATGAGAGGCTTTTAAGTTTCGAACTATTAATGTACAAATATTTGACAGGTCTATAAGTTAGTTGAAACACATTCTGTGATTTATTTTGTCCATCAGTCTTTTTGACAAGAACAATGAGAGGCTTTAAAGTTTCGAACTTAAACTTGTATATTCAAGTGGGATATTTTTATTCACCATTTACCACCTTATTGGCATATAAAATGCATGTTTGTTGGGCTCTAGAAGGATTCTATGAACAAGGAAAAGATGCTTGCATTTTTAGAAATTAGGGTAATATAATATTGTTGGAGATGTATATTGTCACATTATTGTACAACATGGCATTATATATATATATATATATATATATATATATATATATATATATATATATATATATATATTAGAAAAATTAAAATAATAAAGAAATAAAATGTGTAAATAACTAAATAATACTCGGTAATAAGTAGGGTACTGGATTATTGCCTTATTGGCATTCTTTATCTAAAATTGAACAAGTAGCTTAATTGACATTTTTAATATGATATTATGTTATACAACATTGTAGAAAGTGCACATACACACACACACACACACACACACACACACACACACACACACACATATATATATATATATATATATATATATATACATATATATATATAGTTTCAATACGATGTCGTTTTGGTGTTGTATATATTTTCCTACTGTCTTCTTCTAGTTCTCCACTTCTCTTTCAGCTTCACACAATCTTATTTAGGGTTACTTTTTATCGCACACGCTTTCAAAAATCATTCGTCAAGCCATTATTGATAGTTTGTCCAAGCAGCAGGCAGCGTGCTACTCGTGTGCCACCCATTCATGCCTTCAACGAATCAACAAAGTTCGTAGGCAACAATCGCAACGATAAATGATACTAGCTCTGCTTTATATCGCGCCTCCGCCGTCAACAATTAGGTCTCTATGTCGTGAACATTGTGTGACAGCAGCGCCGCCTCACTCTCCATCCGTATTTTTTATTCACTGGTTCGAATTTCAAACATTACATCCCTAAATTATCTGTCTAATTTTATTATAAATTTATAATAAATTATTAATTACAAAATTTGTTGATTATTGTGATTTTATGAATTTCAAAATTGTCAATAGTGATTTGTGGACAATGGACTAATTTCACCCTAGCTCCGCCCTTGAATAAGTGATCTTAAGAAAGTCGAGGAAGAAAGTAGGTCAAAATGTATTTGGGTAAAAAAAAATTATGTTTCTATTATACATGTATATACTCCATAGTATAACTTCTTGCAATAACCTATTACTTAGGATTGCACACTCTCCATGAGTGTATAGTATAGGTCTCACATATTAACAACTTGACAAACCATTAGAACTAATTAGCATATTTTTTTAGGTTGCCTAAAGGTACACTAAGTGGTAGGGAACTGGCGTGGGGATCAAACCCTCAATCTCATGCTTAAGGGACGAGGTGCTGAACTACCACGCCAACCATATTGGTTAACTAATTAGCATATTGATATTGAATTAACTTGACAAAATCCCTTTTTAAGAAAATCAAAATCTTTTCACTAGAATGAAGGGTTTAGTCCAATATTTTCAATTTTGATATTGAATATTGAATGAATATCCAAATTGTCTCTGGTTAAGGGCCACTTACACCTACATTCTGGGCCTGTACATATTCACCATCTACAACTTGTCCAGGGCAAATTATTCTAGGTACCCGGATCCACCTTGCAAGGTGAATTTGGGTCTAAAATTCACAATTTACATAATGAATGTTTACAATTTTATAAAAGATAAATGGTGAACATTTAGTATGTAAATTGTGTATTTTGAACCCTGGTTCACCTTACAAGGTGAACCCTGGTCCCTAGTATAACTCTTGCTTATCCAGTGCTAAGAAAAAGGTAAACACAACGCACCCAACCAGCTACTATGGTTTGTATTAAATCCCGCTTTGTTACCCTATCATGTAAAGGATTGAAGTAAACTAGCAAATTTTTGTGTAGACCATAAAAAATGTATATTTTTAATATACTAAAAGTACGTTATTTGTGTACTGAATGTACATTATATAAAATAATGTATTTTCAATACTCAAATAATATATTTTTTTCTGAATACAAGGTACATTTTTAATATACTAAAAGTACATTATTTGTATATTAAATGTACAATATTTGATAGAAACTTTCAGTACCCAAATAATGTACTTTTCAAGAAAGCCAATAAGTCACTTCTTGTAGTTCTGTAGTTACCAAGTCAACAGCCTACCAACTTGGTTGGTGTAGTCACTGTATATAGATTATAATATAGATAGGATTCATGGTGGTACCAGGCATATATATGATGAAGTCTCAATATTAGCACAGAAAAACCTTATACTCCGACCAAATTAAACAACAACAGACATAAATGCAGTCTCAATCTTAATGATAAAATATGTTACACAATACACACCATTATGAGTTCATTACATAGTACACATAACAACAGTCTTGATGATCAACATTAAAATGAAACATCCTCCACTCATTAGTACAGAAAATTAAACCTACAGATAGATAGCACAACATTCTCATCACATGAGAATGGTTTATTGAGAGCAGTTGATAAAGCATACCAGAACAACGAAACCGATACTTTTAAGGGTCCACCCATAAACTTGGAGGTCATGAGAAGAAGCCAACGACCTTTCCCACCGCGGGGTGGGAGGGGAAGAATATGGTTCTTGATCATTACCGCCACCTCTGGATAGGATTGTCGACGTCACACTTGAAGCCTTCCCATATTGGAAGCCTTCTCGTTCTTCATGATCATATGGAACAATGTGGCTCGATCCTCCTCCACAATCTCCCCGAGAAGTTCATCTTCAATCTTGGGAGCTTGCCAGTGAGAAGGATCCTCCACGAGATCTTCGCTGAATATCATACTAGAAACCCATTCCTTCCATGTGGTTCTCTTGTACTTCTCCTCCTCCAGCGTCCCGGTTGCCAGGAGCTGATACACGTACACCACTTTGTCCTGCCCGGGGCGAAAGGCCCGGGCAATGGCTTGTTTGCTCTTCGAAGGGTTCCATTCCGAATCCAGTAATATTACCCGAGATGCTGCTGTCAAGCTGATCCCCTCAGCGCAAGTGGTAATGGATGCCAACATTACTTTCGAAGGCCCCCCTACCTCCTCGAATTTATCCATCACCCTCCCTCTCTCGAAAAGCTCAATGTCGCCTTGAAGCACCAGCACTTCTATGCCTTTGCGCCACCCGTAGAACCTCTCGAAAATCTCCAGAAACAGATTGATGGGAGCTATGTTGTGGCAAAAGATCAAGACTTTCTCTTTGCGGAGGAGACAACGAGGGATCAGGCTCATCACGAATTTCACTTTCGAGCCTAACTTAAGGTCGAATTTGAATTTCTCGAGAGCCTCCAGCTCCTCTTCCTTGAAGTACTGCCCAGAACACGCTGTCGTTCTGATTAACCACGGATGGATTGCCCCGAGAGTAATGAGGAGCTCGAGTTCGAGAGGAAAGCCTTTGTAGATAGGCCTTTGATCCTGGAGTTTCACCAGGATTTCTTGTTGGAGAGTCGTCGATTTCATCATCAACGTGTAACATTGTAGACCCGGAAGGTTATCAGAGCTTCCACCTTCGTAAACATCTATGAATCCAGTGGTTAGCTTCTTCAATATGTTTAGACCTTCCTTCCTTTCCCTCTCCTTACTCGAATCAATCTTCTTCGAAATCTTATCAATGAACATCTTTCTTGCTCGGTTTTCCAATGAAAACCGAGTTTTTGCACCTTTTACTCGTTTCTTGTACTTAGGATCAAGCTCCTTCAACACCTCATCAACAAACCTCGGCCTTGCCAAGCAAAGCGTGTTGAAATACTCCCCGAAGTTGTTCTGGAACAATGTCCCGGACAGCAGAATCCTAAGACTCGTGTTAACTTTCATTAAAGCCTTCCTTAACCTCGATTTAGTACTTCTCGGGTTGTGCCCCTCGTCTAGTATAAGGATCCCCGGGCACTGCCTCAACACCTGGTTCATATATTTCCTGTGTGCATAGGTTGAATCTTCTCGTGTGAGCGTTAGGAACGAGGTATAGCCCATGAGAAGAACGCTCGGGTGGGCGAGCCACTTCTGCATCTTTTCGAGGCAATCCAAGACGTGCATGACGTCCTGGTTGCGGGGAAGCCCCGGGCATAACTTCATCTTTTGCCTCAAAACCTCACCTTTATAAGTCTGGCCACCGTGTATTTGGTACACCGGGATTGGAATCTTCCACTTGATTATCTCTTTGTACCACGTATAGAGAGTCGTTTTCGGGGCAAGGACGAGAGGGCGTGACCCCGGGAATAGCTTCAAGTAGCTCACGAGAAAAGCAATAATGAGCAGAGTTTTACCAGCTCCAGGGGAATGAGAAATGACACACCCCCCTCTTTTCTTGCTCTCGGGGTCTATTTGGGTCGGGATTATAGACCCCGCAATGTTCTTCCACAAGAACTCGAAGGCTCGTCTTTGGTGAGCACGTAACTTGTTCCTGAGATCGGGTATCAACGCCCACGCATTGTCTTCCACTTCGACCTCCGATGAAGGCTTGTTGGAAGAAACCGGGATAGCAAAATGATCGAGATCAGCATCATCTCCTTGCTTCTCCTCCATAACAACTTCCTCGGGCCTTTGCTCTTTCCCTGAACTCGAGCACGTTGAAGGCATCTGCACAATTTAGTCGAACAGGACTAATTTATAACACGAAAAGCCTTACATCTAATGCATAACATGCTTAGTTTCAAGCATAGAGGATACTCGGATAGTGTTTACAACAATAGATCGCGTATTTGACTTACAAAGGGCGGGGGGACATCCTTAATTTCGGTGCTCACAACGCCACATAGTCGACACACGAGTCCAATTTCCTCATTGAGTCGAAAATCATGATGACAAACTCGTGTCCCCTTTTTAGTTGCCATGTGAAGTTCAGTGGCAGATTTTAAGTTTGTATCCTATAATAGCATTAAGAGAAACATATGAAGACATACAAACAATGTTTTCATTCTCGAGAAACACAAATTAAGGATTTGCATCGATATATATATATACCTCGGTGTCATCAAGAAGGTAACATGATGCCAAGGCAAGTTCCATTTCCTTCCAAAGCATATCGAGTTCTGACAACTCTTCCTCGTTATTCGTCGAGGATTTCTCGATGGGCTCCCGTTGACAGGATTTGGTGTTCTGGAACTCTTTCCACTGGTCGATAATCGGGGGCTGTTCCTTATTAAGGGTTTCATCGATGTTTGCCATACATCTTCGGATTAATTCCCTATAAACATTGGCACTTATGGACCCTTTCCTAAATGATCTTATATCATAAATACTATCCCTCTGAGAAGGGCAAGTCCGCTTCTTAGCCTTCTTTTTGCTCGACCCTATCCCGCCTCCTTTAACATCCAACCCCATGAATTTCAGCTTCGAAACTTTCACTTGACCCCACCGCCTACCTTGCATTAGATTCAACGACGATTTCTTCATCTCCACAGCTGAAGAACCATTTACATAAATGTATTTGGACACTATTTCGCGTATCTCAGCTGACAGATCCTCGTTATCCTCGAAACTAAGTGGATTTTCCTTTTGGTCGAACAAATTGTTCTCGGCAGATAGCTGCAGAGGAACAATGGCGAGGTGTGCTTTGTCTCCACTGACACGTTTTCTGTTTGTATCTGATTTACTACTATTCCGGTTTCTGCTCAAAAGCGAGTTATCACGCAACTCTTGCTGGTAACAAGCGAGAGTTTTGTTATCAATATCGCCGTTCTGATATGCATGATCCGCTTGAATCGAGAGTGCCATTGGCAACTCTTCGAGCTCTGATTTATACATCTTCCCCCCCACGAGTCGAGTCATTTCGACATCGAATTCTGTCAAATAGTCATCACATCCCAGGTAGCGTTCGGGCTGCACAAACCTACGCTTCGACCTACGAAGCTCATCATACACAACGAGCGGTCCAGCTTCATAAACATCCCCCTCGGGTCCCCTTTCGGGGATATCCGGGTTGAACTGTATGATAATCGGGGTGGAAACTTCGTTTTCCAATTTGAAACTCACAGCATAGGAATGGTACTCGGAGTTTGGTGCATCGATGTCGTTCTCATCTTTCAGGATTTCGTACACAATCCGGTTATGGACCGACTTAACATCGAATCCCACTTGCTTATGAGCTGATGCCACGAGCATCCAGCTGAGATCCGAGCAAAACTTCCCCGTGAACAGCTTGAACTTCTGCAGGGTGCTGCAGTCATCAGATAAGCTCCACCGATAATATTTGTCCTCACAAGGCTTTTGTTCGATTTTTTGAAGAATCGCAATCTGGTTTAGCTGCACCACTTTGATCTCTTTGCTAAGAGTTTTCTTTACAATCGGGGGAGGGCCTTGTGTGACATAAACACTAATGTGGAACTGGCAAACACACCCAAAACCGTGTGGCTTCCTTTCTATCGACCTTATTTTCGCATCAATCCAAGCCTGCACATTATAGTGTTAGATTAGAATTTACACAAACCAAACAGCAAGAAATTAAACCAGAATTATCAGATGCTTACAGGTTCGGGTTCCATTTTCTCGTCTTCATTGTTCTCTTCATCCGAATCCTCTGATTGGTGAGGGGTCGAGAACACAGATATGTCAAGTCCGGGTCTTAGAAAGCAAGCACAATCTGAAGAAGTAGCATTTCTTGACCTTATTCGAACATTTGATATCGAAATCTCCTCTTCAATCAAGTCCCCCTCGTCCAAAACATGCATACCAAACGTTCCATTCTGAATTCTTATTCGCTCCACAGGTTGCCACGATCCATTCCGGAACGCCTCAAAAGCTGCCACAACCAAAACAATCAACATTATTCACTCGAGGTTTAACAACCAAACAAAAAGAAATCATCCTCAGCTTAGTTTAACTGCAATTAGCATTTCAATTAGGATAAATGCTTCCCTATAATACACATAAACAACCAACACGATTGCAAAGAAGACGAAAGGTAAATGCTTACGATACACATCGAAAGGATGCTCATTCTGATGTATGCTTCTCCTCTTCATGGCTGCTTAAAGTTGTTGCAGAGAAGAGAAGCCTGGCAACAATATTATTATACTCCAGTTTAGCTGTAACAGCAACTCAAAAGAACACCCATCAGTTCCTAGTACATAAATGGCAAACATTGATATCACGATCCCATGTATTATAATGTCTGTATATTTCAGAAACAGCAATCCCTATCTGGGAAACAGCTAATCAAAAAAGATGTTGTGCTTTTTTTTTTTGAAACAGAATAATCACTATATTTCCTAATAAAGCATAACTGGATGGCACAATCTGCAAGTACAGTGTAACTAAAATAAGAAAAAAAAGGTGTATGATTTACTCCATGACTATAAAGATCCAATCTTTTTTCCCATTTTTAATTCCCCAGCAAAGAAAAAAAAACCCAAAAAAAAAAAAAAAAAAAAAAAACATAACTATACTACAATCCCTGCATTTTCTGCCTGTTTTGTTATAAACCCTGCTATTTTCTTGCTTGATTCAAATTTCAAATGCCAACAAACCACAACCTTAACACCCTCTATCTTTTTACATATATATATATATATAAATAGAAACAAGAAACATATATCTAAGGAAAAGAGATACACACACACATATATATGTGTGTGGGTGTGTCTGTTTGTCTCTGTAAGATTCTTCCCTAAAGCAGTAATGGCGCCAAGAAGCTGAGCGAGCAAATTAATTAAGAAAAAACATCCTTAAAAAGAAGTAGGAGAAAGGTGATTGAGTGATTGGCAGTTTCTGAGGGAGACAGAGAAAAAGCATACCAAATGGAGAAACTAAACGGCGCGGCGGGGAGCAGAAGCATGAGCTGAGAAAAGGGGGGAAAGCGGCGGCGCAGCCTGTAAAAGCATATATACAGAGAAGAGAGCAAAGAAGGGGAGTCAATTGAAGTGATGGATCAATCCCGGCATGGCATCGGGAAGAAATGCGATTCCGGCGAGGGGAATCGGGGGTTTTCCGGCGGGAGGGAGGGAGGGAGGTAGGGAGAGTAATGATGATCAGAGAAGAGAGTGGTGGGGTGAGTGAGGAATAAGAGGGGAAAAAAGGGGGAGAGAGAGATTGTGGGGCAGAGTGATGGCAGAAAAATACAATGGGGAGAATTGACTGGTGATTCCCTGGGGGTGTGTGCTCTACATTGCTTTTTTTCTGCATGAGAACACGAGAGAGAGAGAGATATAGAGATTAGAGAGAGATTTTGGAAAATGTAAAAAGCTTCCATTGGGAGTGGCGCTCTAAATGTGGAAGAAAACCAAGCTGCTGCTCTCTGATATTTTCCTTTTGTTGTTTCTTATTTTCTCCGAGCCCCCACCCCACGTCAAATATATTACAACATTAAAACACTCTAATTTCTTTTTTTGAAAACACTCAAATTTCTTAATTCATCCAAAAACACACCTTTTTTTTTTTAATATATATTAGGTTTCTAAGCTTATGTCAAATTAATTAATTTTATATATGGAAAACTCATTTATATACTCAAAATATAATGAGATCTTCATCTCATTTGATCAGTCAAGGACTCTCATGACCCTCGTATTTTCATAGAAATTCAAACCCCACATTATTATTAAAGTAAGATTTTAAGTCGATCGGTCAAATCAACTGAGTTAACTCCGCTTCGCATAACAAAAAATCTTTTTTTTTTGGGGTACAAAGAGAGGGACAAAGGCCGGTGAAGGGAACTAAGAAGCATTATAGCATGCCCTCCGAGAGGGTGCCCCACGTCGAACTCTGGCATTGACCCTATCTTCTCAAAGCAAACCCTCTACACACGTAGGTTGACGCTCAAGAATCCGAATCCCCATCTCGTGGGCCAAAGCAACCGACGCGAGACTATTAATGACTTTATTTCGCTCACGAACGACATGCCTGAACTCCATTTCCTTAAATTAAACTTGCTAATTTCCCGAACACAAAGTTGCACAATATTGCTTCCCCTCCCCCGCCTAAGCTAAGGTTCTTATCAATGCACTTTATCATAGATAAGGAGTCGCTTTCCACAATGAGATTTCTCGTGCCGCGTCTGACAGCCATCCGAGCAATAAAATTCTCATGAGCAAACAAGGGCATGCATTATTTTTTTTTTTAATTAGATTTTCCAATTTTGTCTGATTGTATCATGGACCCCATAAACCCGCCTCTAAGTCTAGAAAATATGAAGATATAAATTGAGTCAATTTAAGTTCGAAACTTAATACCAAACTGTATACTTTTGCGAACAAAGCGTTCAATCCAAACTCTCAATGTTCGTTCAAGAAATCAAACCCCATTGTTGCAGATTAAACTAGAAGTTTATATACTTTATTTATATTACTTGTTTATCATATATAAACGACATATATTGTGTGTTATTGTATTTTTTTTTTTAATTTATAAATGACTAAATGCGGACAAGAATCTAACTTCACCTAACAAAAAGTTTGAATTTAAATATCATTGACATGCATGTTGCAACAGGTACCTTTCTATTGCAATGAGGATTGTGTTGAGATAATTATCTATTTTCTTACATACATACATACATACATATACATATACATATACATATACATATATATATATATATATATATATATATATATATATATATATATATATATATATATATATATATGCTGTCAATTAAAGTATTAAACTATTATTATTTGCAAGAATCAATTTAGAAATATATTAATGATGCGATTGAAAAAAGATATATAAAGAAGAAAAATAAAGGAAGGAATCAAGCCACATTTATGTGGTTGCCTGAAAAGAATATGCACTTAATTATCACCCACTAATACACTATAATGGGCATGAAATTTTGACTTAAATGCACTAATTAACCTTAGTCCTAACCTACCAAAGAATTTGATATTGTGGTAATTAATCTTTTTTTTTTTTTTGGAGAAAGAGAGACAGAGCCTCAAAATTATCTAATTCTACGGAAACAAACGCCACTCGCGTCACGGATAAGCAAATTTTCTAGGCTTACTGGGATGTCGTTGAAGATCCGAGTGCCCTAGTCCTTATTCTGAGCCATATTAGCTAAGAGATCAGCACATTGATTGCCTTCCCTAAGAATATCGTTAAATGAGATCCCGTCAAACTTCTTTCCCATATAGATGCATTCAGCCAAGAGAGAACAACCAGTATTGTCCCCCTCATCGCCTTCCCGTAACAAATCAATGACGGATTTAGAATCCATCTCAACTAATTAATCATATCGAATTGAGTACTAATTGTTATTTTTATTTATTTTTTTATCAAAACAATGATATTTTATCCCTTTTTTTAATTTTAAAAAAAATGAGAGGCGCTTCGACAAAAACAAAAATAATAATAATAATAATAATAATAATAATAATAATAATAATAATAATAATAATAATAATGGACTATGCTAATTCACGTTTGAACAATCAATCAAAAGCATCCGTTACAGAGGAGGAGGGAAGTCCCTCCAATGCACTCTTCTAATTATGTTAGTCCAATATGATATATTACTTAATAACTAATGATTAATAGGAATAAGGGTCATTCCAAAAAAAAAAAAAAAAAAAAAATAGGAATAAGGGTCAAATTGGCCATCAAAGTATACACCAAAATGTAATTAAATCATTGAACTCAAAAAATATGTAATTGAGTCTCTAAACTAATTAATTTCGTGCAATTAATCAAATTTGTACATTTTTCAGATTTCTAATAGGTCATCCTAAATTTAAAATATTTTTGAAAAAATAATTATTTAAAATTAAATTAAATTTAAAAAATTGTCACCGCTGTGCCGATTTCTTCGTCTTCATGGTCAGAGACGAAAAAACTTCCTCGCCTCTGACGCAACTTTTTGTTTTTTCGTTACGAACTGACGTAACACACTTTGATGTGTTCAAATTATAATGTGTCACATTTATTAATACATCTTTGGTGTATAGACCAAACCATTTTACACCGATAAAATATTTATAAGTTTATGAAAATTAAACATCGCGAAATAGAATAAACATTGACTTGTAACTATTCTCAAAATATTACCACCTTTTTTTTTATTTATGTAAAATAATAATAATAATTTATTATAAATAAGTAAATAAATAAAGCATGTGGATTGACGTGGATCCGACGGGTAAAGAAGTGAAGCGGGGCAAGGGGGGACAAGAAGTTACTAAAAACCGAGATAAATGTCGGAGGAGCCGTACGAGAAGATGGGTGTAGTCACATGCACACGATTCTTACCACTTGAAGACATTTTCTACTCCACTTGTAGTTGAAGACCTTGTACAACACATTAAAGCGGCTTTCCGTCACTCTGACATTTTTTTTTTTAAAACAATTTTCAATCATTACATATATATAGAGTAAACTTTTTTTTTTTTTTGAAGACATATATAGACTATAGAGTAAACTTTATTCATGTAAAATAACTTTTATCAACTACTATGTATTATAATGATATCTATATTATTTTTGAATGATCATAGATTCGAACTCTGATGATGAGAGTTTAGATTTTTTAGGTTAAAAATGTTTAAGGAAAATATAGAATAGATATTATTTTATAAATAAATTATACTGGTAAAAATATGTGAGAAGGACTCCGTAAAAATCTACTTCTACTATATTAATAAGAGCCCAAAAGAGTTAGGCCTATAATGGGTAGAAAAAATGGCGGTCAAATTTTTTAATTAAATGATTGGCTCAGATTGATCAGATTTTAATTTTTACTTAAGATTTTCTAATTTATCCTTAATGAATATGATTATCCATTAACTTTTCCGTTAAATATTACCTTTTTCGTTAATTTCTGTTAGTCCACCGTTAACTTATTGATTTCAATAAGAAAGGTCTTAGGTTCAAACCACATCCCAATCAAAGATGGCATAATTAGTACTCTATTTTACTCTTATTAAATTATAACTAATAATATAGTAGCTACAACAAAAAATAATACATATGCATTTCTTTATTTTAGAATTACGTGTCTATAATGTCTTTATTCAAAAAAAAAATTATTCATTATCAATAAATTAAATAAGAGAAATAATTTCATTCGTTATATGGTCTTTATTTTTATCCAATATTATATTCGCTACATTGTCCCTACAATGTCTTTATTAAAAAAAAACATTCATTATCAATAAATTAATTATGAGAAATAATTTTATTAGTTATATTGTCTTTATATTTATACAATGTAAAAATTCTTTACATTCAAATTCATCAATTGATTATATTCAATGTATTGTCTATTATCTTTTTTGTGCACTATTATTTAATTAAATATTAAAGTTATAATACAAAATAATGCTATATATTTATTTATCAAGTATTTTATTAATATGATGAAAAAATTAAAGAAAAATATAATTAATAAAGCCAATCATAACTACTTGAGGGATTTGTTGACAAATAGAGTATTCAAATTACACAACAAATTGAAGTGAGAACTATTTGTTGTAGTGAGAACTATCTCACAATGTCCTTGTTTAACAATCAGGAGTTAGCCGTTAGCGTTCAGATTATATTAGCGGATTTGGCCAGCGAATTATATAACGGTTGGTAAAAATATATTTGAAAAAATTAAATTGTTTAGATTAACATGTAAAATGACATAAGGGTAATAAAATAATAATAATAATAATAATAATAATAATAGTTATATATATATATATATATATATATATATATATATATATATATATATATATATATATATATAAAATTAAGCCAAGCATATTCAAACCACACAACAATTTAAAGTGAGAAACTACCTCGCAATGTCCTTGTTTGGCAATCAGCAGTTAGCTCTTCAATATTAGTATATATTTAATATTTTATGCCCTAATTTTTATTTGCTCTCCCTTATGTCCCGTATTTTGGTTTCAACCATACCTATACAATTTTTATTGACAATTATAATCAATATTGACTATATTATCTTGCATTTGTAAACTTAGAATTACCTATTTAAATACGCAAATTCAACATTCAATTATCTATGCATGAATAATTCTCATATAAACTTGCCTTGATATACTTTAAAGTACTTATTAAAAAAAATATTAGGCATTATTCCAATCGCGCAATGCACGTACAAAACTAGTATATTAATAAAAATTAAACTCGTGAATTTTTTATACGAAAATCATATTTTACCTAATCAATTCGCCATTCTGCACGGACACTTTTTCTTTCCTTCTGCATAAGGTGTGGGACCCGCGGTGGTGTGACCCAACCATAGTCAATAACTCAATCATTTATTATTGCATAGTAATGCTTCCTGCTTCTTTTGTTACCAGATTCTGGAATTTTATGTGGGCCTATGCTATATCCTATAGGCCCATTCAATTCCACATTTAATAGACCTGGCCCACAATGGCTCTAATCCAACAATAGTTATGTCAGAGTCCACATTGTGAAGTGAATCCATGTCAAAATACACAATTTATATACTGAATGTTCATAATTTACATACTAAGGCAAACTTCACAGACCGTACATTCGGGTAAGCGGGGTAACGGTTATGACTTTTCTCGTAAATCAAAGAAAATTCTTGCAGATAACTGAGAGTATGGGATCATTATGCCATGGAACTGTTCACCATCCATGGTGAACACGGTCCCAATGGTGTTAGTACACCGTTATCTTTTTTTTTTTTTCCTTAATTAATCGCGTGACTTTTCTTCTTCACTTTCACATTTTGCGGTTTCACTTCCTCTTCGCGCAAGCTTCTTCAACATAATCTCATAAAAAGAAAATTCATAATTTCATAATTGCACATTCATAAATCCATGCCTGCACATTCATAATTGCATGGATTTATGAATGTGCAGTTATGAGATTATGAATTTTCTGTCATGTTCATAATTTACAGTAATGTAAATTCATAATCTCATAACAGAAAATTCATAATTTAATAAATGTTTTTCTTTTATGCGATTATGAATTTTCTGTTATGAGATTATGAATTTACAGTAAATTCATAATCTCATAACAGAAAATTCATAATCTGACCAAACGCGCGCCGTTAATACCACATTAGCAAAAAAAAAAAAAAATCCGTAAAAACGGCACCGTTTAGACCCGCACGTTTCCAGGGCATAATTTGCGGAGAGTATGGGTGTGCACCATAAATATCAATTCACATGTTCATATCAATGAGAAGTGACCCTCTTTATTACAGTACAACTATATAAGTTAAGGTTTGTTGGGAAGCAACAGATAAAACTGTCATTTAGGATACTAATAATAATGCAGTATTATGTTATGTAATGCCATGCAAATGATGAATGGAAACATTGTTGTTTGATGCTACTGTCAACAAACTGGAAGATCTGCAGGAGGCTCCTCTAATGTCTGCAATTCAGTCACCCCATTCTCCACTATAAACGCCATGGCCAAACCAAAGCTAATGTGAGCATCCAAGTGACAATGCATTATCCAGACTCCTGTTTTCAAGAATCAAACAATAGTATGAACATGTTAAGGAAGAACCGAAGAATAAAAGAAGGCGGCCAAGTTGGTCAGACTATTGGCTCGGTAACCACAATGTTACAAGTTTGATTCCCAGTGGAAGCGGGGCCTATTAACCTTCTTGGTTTAAGCTGGTTAGCTATGGGCAATTTAGGCTGGTTTACCTCCTCGTGGTCCCCGGCTAGGGTCACGAGGTAGATGTGCAGAAGGAATGAATGGTTTCACCGGTCCTCCATAAGCCTCTTCTTGACAGTGCTATTTCAAGTGCAGCAAACATCATATGTGAGGTTTTTCTTGACATTTTCATACAATGTTTGTCGTTTCCCGACACCATATTCTTGAAACTAAAGCATCTGAAGTCTAGAAGCTGTATGAACTTTCTTTCTTACTTCATATTACAAAGATGGACTTCAAAGCTCAGCTTAGATGAAGAGTCTTAGTCATCATGAAGGGGTGCAAAAAGTCATTAGGTATCAGTTACTATACTCTAACCAAAACCTAGCTGAATCTTTAACTAAAATTTAGTTACAAGAAGATTTTCTGGCTGCGGGTTTCCCTCATCACTCGGAAAACATAACTGATCGGCTCAAACCAAGAAGGCCAATAGGCCGCTCCTGGGAAGTCAACAGTCTGGCCAACTTGGCTCGGTTTAATCATACTTGAATAACAATTACTGAAATGCTAAACTGTTTTTTTATGACAAGAGAAAAGTGAATGGAAAAGATTCATGTTTGACAAGCAAAGCTTCATCTATTATAGAAAACATGGAATTGGTAGGATTCCATTTCTGTTTTAACCTTCAAAAGAATCACACACATATGTACACAGCAAAGTACTAGAGAAAAGAACTGAAATGAGCAACACAAAAAATTCAAGAATGAAAGAATAGTGTCATCCTAACACCTCAATCATAGATCATAGTATTCGCCTCTAATCACTTGTAGGAGCTGCTGCTGCTGCTGTTGCACCATCGTCGCCCGAACTGGATGCAGTTTCGGGTTTAATTTCTTCGAGCTGTTGAAGAACTAACTGAACTTCAGGGCGAGCCGAAGGCGAAGGGTCCACGCAATGCAGGGCGAGTTTCAACGTGTTCAACAGTTCATCGCCAATCGTCGAAGCATCCCTCATAAGTTCCAAATCGAAAACTTCATTAGTCCACTCCTCTTTCACAATCGAGGCAACCCATTGAGGCAAGTCCACGCCATTCATTGCCTCCCCGGGTGACTTCCCGGTTAGGAGTTCGAGGATGATGACTCCAAGGCTATAAACATCTGTCTTTGTATTCGCCTTCTTGAGCTTCGAAAGCTCGGGTGCACGATATCCTAACGCCCCTGCAGTTGCAATCACGTTTGCATTCGCAGCAGCAGTCATCAGGCGCGAGAGGCCATAGTCTGCAATCTTTGCAGTGGTGGTTTCGTCTAGCAAGACGTTGCTGGATGTTAGATTTCCATGAATTATATTCGCATTCGTGTGGAGATAGAGCAATCCCCGAGCAATCCCTTTCGCTATTCTCATTCTTGTCGGCCAATCTACTGTTGTATCAGGACCCCGAGCTGCAGCTAAACAACAGAAATGATCAGCAATCATATATATTCAACAGATTCAACATTAAAAAAGTTGGAAAATAAAATTTAGTTTACCATGAAGATAAGTTGTGAGGCTCCCTTTAGCCATGTAGTCGAAAACCAGAAGTTTCTCTCCTTTGGGACCTAAGTAATAAGCTCTCAAGGCAAGAAGGTTAGGATGCCTGATTTTCCCAAGAATGTTAACTTCGCTCTCGAATTCTCTTTGCCCTTTCGTGATCTTCTCCCTCAATCTCTTCACTGCAACTTGATTGCCATCTTCCAAAGTGGCTTTGTACACTGTTCCATAGGTGCTCTTCCCCATTATCTCTGCAGTGGCACAAAGAAGATCATCTGCAGCAAACACCATTGGGCCATCGAAATGGACTAACTTTCCTCCTGTTTCTCCAGCTGCTTCGACTTCCCCAGCTGTCGGGGGGACGCCTTTTTCTCCCCTACCCGAGGAGGCAGCAGCCCCGGCCCCAGGACCGTCCTTTTCTGCCTTAGAAGCGGCTCGTTTCTTGACTAAGCAACTTATCAGAATGCAACAAAGGAGGAGCAGGATTACGAGGAGTGCTCCTGCTGCAATGAGGATAATGTCTTTAGTACCGAGGCTATGACCGTGGTTTTGTGGAGTTTCGGGGGGCGATGGAGCTTCCGGGGTAGCAGGAGCGGGTGTTATAGGACACGGGGTCGAAGGGCTGTAGCCACAGAGCTGGAGATTACCAGCAAAGGCACTTGAATTGAATGTTTGAGAAAGGCGGGTAGGAACCCGGCCAGAAAGGGTGTTGTAGGAGACATTGAAGAGATTAAGGTTGGGTAGATCATCAAGGGATTCTGGGATTTCTCCACTGAAATTATTCTGGGAAAAATCTAGTTCTGTAAGGGTGGAAATATTCCCAATTGTAGCTGGAATTTCACCACCAAATTTGTTGTTCTGCAAGCTCAGAACAGACAACTTCTGCAACTTATCTATAGAGCCTGGGATTTGATCACCCAATTGGTTGCTCTCCAATTTCAACACCACCAGAGATGACAGATTCGAGAGGCTTTCAAGAAAGCTCCCATTAACCGAATTATACGAAAGATCGAGTGTTCTGAGCCTAGAAAGCTTCGCAATATCATTTGGGATAAAACCACTCAAATGGTTATGACTAAGTGAAAGGTCTTGAAGCTCATTAAGCTTGCCTATGGAAGCAGGAATGGTTCCAGAGAAAGAATTGTGATCAAGTGACAAGAACTTAAGCTGAGAAAGGCTATTCCCACCCCAGGAATCAGGGATAGGGCCAGAGAGGTTATTGTTCTTGAGATCAAGAAAGATAATGGAGGGGGATTGAGTGAGGGTTCTGGGGATTGAACCAGACAAAGAATTATAGCTAACATTAAGCCTAAAGAGCTTAGTTGAATTCACTAAACTATCTGGGATTGACCCAGAAAATGAATTGTTACTAAGATCAAGTGTTTGAAGCATTCTACAGAAGCCAAGTGAAGCAGGGATAGAACCTGTAAACCTGTTATTGAAGAGCTGAACACCTCTGAGGTTAGGCAGAAGCCCCATAGTTGTTGGGATTGAACCACCAATCACATTATCATGGAGGCTGAGTTTTCTGAGAGCCTGAAACTGACCAATCTTGTCAGTAATCTTACCACCCAGCCCTTTCCATGGCAGCTGAATCACAATCACTTGACCTTGAGCACACTTAATCCCTACCCAATCCCCAGAACAAGCCCCAACCCCACTATCATTCCAGCTTTTCAAGAACCCTTTTGGATCAACCAACCCCTGCTTGAAGGCTTGCAGTGCCTGAAAATCAGCCTGGGTGATAATCACACCATCCCAACCCTGACTTGAAACCAAATAACCCCCACAAATTTGCAGCAGAAACAGAAACAAGAACTGGCCATAATAATAAAGACTGCACCTTTTCAACCTCCTCAACTGAAAACCCCCATGGACACCTTCAATCTTCCCCCATTTCTTCTTCCCATCACCCCATCCACCTCCTTCTTGCCTCACAGACTCCAATGGGCACCTGCAAAAACCTCCAAGACTGCTCCTTTCAGCTTCCATGACACTCAAAATTCAAAAAGAAAGAACTAGAACAAGAAAGGGTCTAAACTCTGAAGTACTACTACACAAACAGTTTGAAATGTGAGCAAGGTTTTGTAGTGGGGAGGTGAGTGAGGGGGGAGGAGCTAGAGGGGGAGTGAGGGTCCTGTGAAGGGACACGTGAACAGAAACAAATAGAGCTAAAACGGTGGAATCTTTTCCCTTCTTTCTCTCTGATCTTTTTTCCCCCTTTTTTAAGTGTTTTGGGACATGGAAACTGTCAGTTGTGCAAAAAGCCTAACGGCTAGTTTTCTGGATCTGCCATGAGTCCATGTTGTGTGTGTGTGTGTTAAGGTACTATGCTGTAATACACAACAAATGCTTTGGGGTTTGGAAAGTCAGGCGTTTTTACGTTGTTGGCCGCTCCTTCCCACTCCCCTACAACGGCTATCTCTCTCGTGGGGCCGGTGGGGCCACCTTTAACTGGATTGAGGTGGGGCCATGTTTCCTACTTTGTCACTGTCATTTCATTTTGAACTCCATGGTTTTGTCACCTAAACCTAGTTTAGTCATTAATGTGCTAAAGACAACATTTTTATAATCTAAGCTGGATGTGTTGAATTTGAAGACACCCAAAGTTTGACTCCTTAGTTTACTTAACCTAAACTAGAAGGAAGAAACAACCTTTACGCCTTAAATTCCTCAAGAATGTAATCTTTGAACAACTAGAGTGATTCTCTAACAATTTCTCTCTAGGGTTTGCTAGAGTTTTCTCCTCCCCTAGGGTTTGCTAGGTTTCCGACGGTTTCCTACGTTTTTTCCGGTGATCATCACTGTTTGGCGACGCTAATGAGTACGCTGAGTTGGAACTGGCGTGGCTTGGGTAATCCACGGACAGTTCGAGAGGTGGTGGACATGGTGTCCAAAAAGCAACCCGACTTTGTATTTCTAATAGAAACTAAGGTAGCGCGAGATCATGTTGAGCGTCTTCGTGTTACGATCGGTTTCGAAGGCTTATTTTATGTTGACAATGATGGTTTGAGTGGTGGATTAGCGTTATTGTGGAAGAAGAATAATACGGCGAGACTCCTTAGTTACTCAAGAAACTACGTTGATATTGAGGTAACTATGACAGGTAATCCGGCCTGGAGAATGACGTGTTACTATGGCTATTCGGACCGTAATAGGCGTGCTGAATCATGGGATTTGTTGAGAATGTTGGCGGCAAAATCGAATCTCCCGTGGGTGGTGGTGGGGGATTTTAATGATTTGCTATACCAGTATGAGAAGAGAGGGGGAAATCCACATCCGAATAGCCTTCTTCGAGGTTTTGAGGAGACGATTGAGGATTGTGGATTGGCCCAGTTGCCAATGATTGGATACCCATATACCTGGGAGAAGGGGAAAGGGACTGCAAACTGGATTGAGGAGAGACTTGATAAGGTCCTAGTAACGAACGAGTGGCGCAATATAATTTCCCATGTAAAGGTTATGAATTTGAGAACCAGGAAGTCAGATCATTCAGCCATTTTTTTCACAGTTCAGGAGGAGGTAGGGAGGGATGGGGTTAGAAGAAGGGGTTTTAGGTTTGAGATGGCATGGTTATATGATGAGGGATGTAGGGGTGTGGTGGAGCAGGCGTGGCAGGAAGGGAGAGGGCAGGGTTTACAGGGTTGTGTTCAATACTGTGGAAACCGGTTAACACGATGGGGTGGGGATCGGTTCCATAAGTATGGGAAACAGATTGTGCAGCTGAAACGGGATCAACAACGTTTGAGAGGATGCACTGACTCGGCCTCTCTTGTCGAGTTTCAGCGAATAGAGCAACTTCTGAGTCGCACTGAGGCCCAGGAGGATGCATACTGGAGGCAGAGAGCCAAGCAGCACTGGCTCAAGGAAGCTGACGCCAATACCAAATTCTTTCACAGGTATGCCTCTCACCGAAAGAAAAAGAATACTTTACTTAGATTAATGAATGACAATGGGGATTGGTTGGAGGGGGATCCCATGAGAGATATCATTCTGGACTATTTTAAGAATATTTTCAGCTCTGGGGGTCCGGGAACTGGAGATGATTTTTTTGGGGGGATAGAACCCAGGGTATCACAGGCGCAGAATGACTCACTATTACGGCCATTTAATCTGGAGGAAGTAAAGGATGCATTGTTTGCAATGTATCCGGATAAAGCACCGGGACCGGATGGAATGAATCCGGGTTTTTATCAGCATTTCTGGGATGTGGTAGGAGGGGATGTTGCGAGTTTTGTGCTAAACTGTCTTGAATCAGGTGACCTCCCGTCTGGCTTGAATGAGACAGATATTGTGTTGATCCCTAAAAAGAGTAATCCAGAGTTAGTAACTGATTTGCGCCCTATAGCACTTAGCAATGTCATTTACAGAATAATAGCTAAAATGATGGCTAATAGAATGAAGCCTTTGATGGAAGGAATAATATCTGAGACACAGAGTGCTTTTATCCCAGATAGATTGATAACAGATAATATTCTATTAGCTGCAGAAGTGGGGCACTTTCTGAATCGAAAACAGTGTGGATTGAGGGGCTGGGGTGCACTTAAGCTGGATATGGCTAAGGCGTATGATCGAATGGAGTGGCCTTTTCTCCGTAATATGATGATGGCATTGGGTTTCCATGATAGATGGGTTGATTTGATTATGAAATGTGTGACCACAGTCTCCTATAGTATTCTGATAAATGGCTCAAGGAGTGACCCAATAATACCCACGCGTGGTTTGAGACAGGGAGACCCGCTATCCCCATATTTGTTTATTATCTGTGCAGAGGGACTCTCGTTGTTACTACAACAGGCTAACAGAGCGGGATTAATTCATGGATGTAGGGTAGCAAGAGGTGCCCCTCAGATTTCTCATTTGTTTTTTGCGGACGATAGCCTTTTATTCTTTAAGGCTAATGTGGAAGAGGCTAATGAGATAAAGAAATGCCTGACTGTATATGAGGATCTATCGGGACAGGTGGTTAACTACCACAAGTCGAGTATTTGTTATAGCAGGAATACGAGTAATGTGGATAGGGAAAGTGTGGCCCAAGTTTTGGGGGTGGAGCAGGCACCAAACTTTGGCAAGTATTTGGGTCTACCTTCGTTTGTGGGTAGGAATAAAAAGGCAGCTTTTGCATATATTGAGGATAAAATACGCCAAAGAATTGGGTCGTGGAATAAAAGGCTATTGTCTCAGGCAGGGAAAGAAATACTGTTGAAAAGTGTGGCACAATCTATGCCTACCTTCTCAATGAGTGTTTTTTTGCTACCTATATCAGTATGCACGGCTATAGAAAGAACGATGAATAGATATTGGTGGGGTTCTGGGACGGACAACCGAGTTCACTGGAAGGCTTGGGACAAGCTATGTGTTCCTAAGAAGTATGGTGGATTGGGTTTTAAGGACCTACGTGCATTTAATCTAGCTATGTTGGGGAAACAGGCATGGCGAATGCTCACTAAGCCTGATTCCTTAGTAGCTCGTGTTTACAAAAGCCGATATTTTCCCAGGGATACTTTCTTTGATGCGCAGGTAGGAAATAATCCCAGTTTTTGTTGGCGGAGTATAATGGCATCAAAGAGCATAATTTGTAGTGGGGTCAGACGAAGAATTGGGAATGGGGAAACTACATCTATATGGACCCATCCATGGTTACTGGATGACCAGGACCCTATGATACAAACAGAGATGCCTATACAGTTACGAGAGGCCAGAGTAGTGGGGCTAATAGATCAACAAACTGGTACATGGGATAATGAAATTTTATCAGATTTATTTCAACCTACGGATGTCGAGAGAATTATGAGAGTACCTGTATCCCGGGATTATAATGATGCATGGTATTGGTACGGGGACCCGAGAGGATTATATTCTGTGAAAAGCGGGTACAGACGATTGGTGGGAGATTATGAGAATAATCAAGGCCCCTTTACTAATTGGTTAGCTTTATGGAGACTAAAAATTCCACCAAAGTGGAAAATGTTCCTCTGGAGAGCTATTTGTGATATTTTGCCTACAACTACGAACTTGCTTTTAAAGAGGGTGGAGGTGAACCCATATTGTGCTATGTGTGGGATATCACATGAGAATACAATGCATGCATTAGTCTTGTGTGATTTTGCAAGAAACATTTGGGATCAATCCAACCTTACAATCCCCAATATTGTCACGGATATTTTTCATGTTTGGTTTGGGGAACTTCTAAATATTTTAGATTCTGATGGAATGTTATATGCAGCATCAATTCTATACAATATTTGGAAAGCTCGAAATGGTGCAGTTTGGGAGGCGTTTTTACCACGCCCGGGGTCCCTACTCAGAGCCGCAGCGGCAGCCAAGACCGCATGGACTCAGTCCCGCCCAGCCGTGGCTGCCACTGCCACTGCTACGCTGCCGACAGAAAACCGCCACGCTGCCCAGGCGAGTCCCACCGCCGGCCGCGGTGCTGCCGACGCCGCCGGATCTTCTGTGCCGCCAGTGAGAAGATGCAGGGTCGATGCGGGATATCTACACGAGACAGGGAATGCAACTGTAGGGGCCGTTTTATTAGATGGAGATGGAGCCTATATCTCGGCACTAACCGCGCCGCTACCGGCCTGTACGTCACCACTTATGGCTGAGGCTTTGGCGTGTAAGGAAGTTTTATCATGGCTAAAGGATCGAGGTGAACAGAATATTGAGATCTACACGGATTGTTTGACACTACAACGCTACCTTACATCATCAACCACTGCGTTTCGCTCTTACGTTGGCTATGCCATTGATAGCTGCAGGCAAATTGCCGTTTATTTTCACTCATGTTCTTTTAATTATATTTCTAGATCGGACAATTATTTAGCTCATGCTTTAGCCACTACGGCTTATCAGCAACCTGATACTATGTACTGGGATACTCACCCACCAGACATTATTTCAGCATTTTTCTAATGAAGCACCGCAGAAAATTTTCAAAAAAAAAAAAACCTAAACTAGAAGGGACACAAAATTATTATTATTAATTTTTAATTTGGTGAAAGCCTGAAAGGAACCTGTTGTTATTATTCAAGAACATGCACTAATTAATATACTATGAGAAAAGAGAATAAGAAAAAGAACACATAAAGTATGAGATCGCGATTTTAACGATATCTTCGAAAATTGGTTAACTAGTTAAATTGTGACATACAGATTTAAATTTATATTATTGGTGTAGAAGACAATGAATAATAATATATATTTGTCAGAATATGAGGCTATGTTGCTATGGAAGACAATGATTCCACTGTACAACCACTAGTAAAGTAGTAATGTCTTAAACTGATTCATATGACCAAAGAGTCCCCTCTTGCTGCCTTCCAAGTCACAAGACAACAAGAGTGTTTAAAAGCTTTGCTGCTAACTCCTTTACAAACTGGCCAAAATCATTGCAAGATACCTCAACATCATCTGATATATGATGGAGACCTCTCGTGATCTGAGGCCTATACTCTCCACATTCACCTAAGTTCATAATGGGGAAGAGCTCTCCCCACTTTGGTTTTTATGTTTCTGACTTTTTTTTTTTTTTTTTTGAAAACAAGATGTTTCTGACTTGAAAACTGCTAACAACTTGTTTTTTGCTATATGGTAATCGCTAATTATCAAACATCTCACACAAACAACCCTTTCTCATCCCATATTTATATGGGGAGAGACCTCTCCCCACTTTAGTTGCTAGTCGAGGTATCTAATTAACTTCGAAACTACTAATAATATGTTATCTTCTATGCGTTAATTGCTAATTATCAAACAAGATTATTGTGAATATGATGTTCACAAACAACCCTTTCTCATAATTGGATATGGAATTACTTAGTGAAAGTTGACACCGTTACTTAATGTTCGGCTAAAAGGGATAAACTAATCAAACTCAAACTTCATCAATTAACAACCTTAAAACTAGGGGATACAAGCCCCGGTGTCCAAGCACCAACAAAAGATGGGGTAACACTTGTGTGAGACCCTCTCACGTGTCGGATCTTTGATTGATGGGTCAAATCTTTGATTAATGGGTCAGATCGTTGACCTCATTAATCAAATATCCGACCCGTGAGACGGTCACACACAAGTTTTTATTTATTTTCAAAAGGCAAGCAAGGTGCTAGACTGAACGGCCCCAACACCTGCCAGGAAAACCAACCAATCAATGATTGTATTAATGAATCAAAGCTGCAATAGAGTCAGGGGAAATTGAATCCCAATACATAAACTGGTCATGTGTAAAAGCTAAAGAAGCTAAAGTATGAGCATGCATGTGAATTAAAGAACCTAGATACGTAACTTAATGAGCAATAATTAAACGAAGCCATGGCCACCCTACATTGGTCCACTACAACCCCAACATAGGATAGAATATTCGCTGATTCCTGGCGTAGAACGTTCCGTAGCTCCATACAATCCGTGAGAAGATCCACCGATGTTACATCTCTCTCCAACAACCAAGATAGTGCTTCTTTACATGCTAAGGCCTCCGTCATAAGTGGCGAAAAACAAGCCAGTAACCTTCCACTTCGTGCTGCCGTAAACTCGCCGTCCGATGAGAAGAGAAGGACAATACTGAAAGTAGCCTCCCCGGTTGCGTGTCGGAACCCTACATCCACGAAGCATCTTCGCCTGCCGTGACCACCGCCCAGTGCTGCTAGAGCTGTCACGGGATGAGGAGGACGTTGGTTGGCCTTCTGGAATGCACTCAAAGCCACAACTGCCTTCTTTCATGCGTCGGCGGGTGGAGGGAGGGTGCCGTTCGGGATGATGTCTGTCATGTGACCCTAACTGGAATTATTTTATTTTTTGATTTATGAGAAAACCTATATCTGCTATCCGAATGTATGTTTTTTGTGAAGTCAAACTTACAACCTTAGCTGACAATAAAGTAAATCAATCTAAAATTGAACTTGAAATATTGTGATTACTATTCAATTGTTGGATCAACTCATCAACTTAGACTAGATTGTTGTTAACTTGTTATTTTTGGGTTATATTAGGGTGTATCCGACATGGCGACGCGTCAGCAACTCAACATGAAGATGACGTTTATCTCTTGGCAACTGATCGGTGACGATGATGTTTTGTTCAGAAAATTTTGAAGGCTAAGATTGAAGATGGATTGGTCGTCGGCGCTGACCATGTAGCGCTACTGCTACTGCTCTCCAATCACCTCTTCTCATCTCACCCGAATCTGGAAATGGAGTGCCACGTTCTACGTGGCTTTACTTTCAGATCACTCCACGTCAACCGCCGTCTCGTGGTGGGAAATCGTCGCCGGCGAAAGTTCCCGTGCCACCTCAGCTTCTCCGTCCGCTGCGGTCAAATCCCGGCCGAGAATGGCGGCGCCGTTCGCGGCACGAAGAGGCGAGAAGTGCTCGTCACCTCATTAATCGCCCTCGGAGCTAGCGTGCTCCGGACGGCAGTGGCGAGAGCCGACGATGATCCCCCGGAGAGCGCCCCCGCCACGGCGACGGCGACGGAGGTTCTAGATCCGGCGCCTGCTCAAGCGGAGAAGGCGGAGGAGAAGAAAGAGGAGGTGATAAATTCTAGGGTTTACGACGCGACGGCGATCGGAGAGCCGCTGGCGGTGGGGAAGGACAAGAGTAAAGTGTGGGAAAAGCTTATGGGTGCTCGGATTGTGTACCTCGGAGAAGCCGAGCAAGTCCCTACCCGCGACGACAAGGAATTGGAGCTTGAGATTGTGAAGAGTTTAAGGAAGAGATGTGCTGAAGCAGAAAGGCCAATTTCTTTGGCTTTAGAAGCTTTTCCCTCTGATCTTCAAGAACAACTCAATCAATTCATGGCTAAAAGGTCCAATTTTTCACCCCAATCTCACCTTCTTAGCTGCAAAATCTGATTTCTGATGCTTAGAACTACTGTAAATTGAGAGTGTTTATCTCATGATCATTTGCTAGATAGGGTTAAAACTCAAAAGTCGGGTTTATATGGTGCGAGTTTCTCTCATTTCTTGAAAAACAGCTGCTAAAAATTGAAACTTTTTCTATTTCATGGCAGTATTGATGGAGAAACCTTAAAATCTTTTGTAACACATTGGCCATCTCAACGATGGCAGGAGTACGAACCTCTGTTATCTTACTGCAATGACAATGGAGTTTGCCTAATTGCTTGCGGTTTACCCCTCGAGGTATTCAAATGATTAGTATGCATTTATGCAAGTATATTCCTTAACTCGTATTGATGTATGTAAAGGTTGTTCTTTTAAACTTGTATGTAAACCGAAATTTATGTTTGCAATCTCGTATTAGGTGTGTGGAGTTATATTTGTTTGATAAGCTTCTCTGACTAGGTGCAACGAACAGTGCAAGCATTAGGTATTCGAGGGCTTTCTAAATCCGATCGGGACAAGTATTCTCCTCCTGCTGGTTCAGGCTTCATCTCGGGGTTTACTCCAAGGTCCCACAGATCGTTTATTGATGTGAATTTGCCTCGTACGTCTGCTCTGTTTGGACCAAGATCGTATCTTTCTGCACAGGCGAGAGTCGTTGAGGAGTACAATATGTCTCAGATTATATTACAAGCCATGGAAGACGATGGAAGTGCGGGTTTGCTTTTAGTTATCACGGGTGCCACCCACGTTACTTATGGATATAGGGGGTCTGGGCTGCCCGCCAGGATTTCGAGGAAGGTGCAAAAGAAAAATCAAGTTGTCGTGTTACTGGATCCCGAGAGACAAGAAATAAGGAGAGAGGGAGAAGTGCCTGTTGCTGATTTTCTGTGGTACTCTGCAGCTCGACCTTGTAGTAGGAACTGTTATGATCGTGCTGAAATTGCTCGGGTGATGAATGCAGCGGGGAGGAGGAGAGACGCCTTACCCAAGGTAACGTTTCTTTCTTTCGTTGATTTATTTGTATTGTAAGTAGTTTTGCTCTCGTGGAAGCATATGTACATCGAACCCTCTCTCTTTGACCATATATATCTCATATCTGATTATGGAAGTTGTTGAATTTGGAAGATGGAATGGCCTGGCGGGTGGAGAATAACACCACCCGCCAGTTAGGCAGAAACAATGATGAAGAATCAAAGAATAAAAAATGTATATAAGACTGAAATATTAGTATCATCTGTGTTTCTAATAAAGAAACATAGTACATATATATATATATATATATATATATATATATATATATATATATATATATATATATATATATATATATATATATATAAACACATAACTGTAAGTAACTACCCATAATTGACACCTATTCATAAACAGACAACCCTATAGATAAACCTAACTCTTTATTTTTCAACAGAAGTAAGCATTTAGCAACCCCGTTGCATTACAACTCATGCTTGCGATTGACAAATTTTTTGAAAACGAGCTTTGCTCAAATCATCTCATCGAGCCAATGGCGTTTTATATTGGCCAGGACCTCCAACAAGGACTAGATCTCGGTCTGGTATCACCGGAAGTGCTGCAGAACTTTTTCGATCTAGAGCAATACCCTGTTATTTCAGACTTAACGAAGGGTTTTCAGGTATTTGGTGCCCGGTTTTAGCATATTCTTCGATACTCAATCAGTAACACCGCTTCCATACTATTAAGCAAACTTGTTAAAATCTCGCCTTTTGATGATGCAGGGTTTTAGAGAGCGATTGTTGGCAGATCCCAAATTTCTGAATCGATTAGCTATCGAAGAAGCTATATCGATAACAACCACGCTCTTAGCACAGTATGAAAAGCGTAAAGAAAAATTCTTGGAAGAGATTGACTATGTTATAACAGATACTGTCAGAGGAACTGTCGTAGACTTTTTTACGGTGTGGCTTCCCGCCCCCACGATTTCTTTCCTACCTGCAGCCAGCGATGCTAACATGCCCGAAAGCATCGAAGCGTTAAAGGGTCTCCTCGGTTCCATCCCGGATAATGCGTTTCAAAAAAGCATTGCAGGGAAGGACTGGGGATTGAGCCACCGAGTTGCGTCAGTCATTGTTGGCGGTCTTAAACTCGCCAGCGTTGGATTCATTTCGAGTATCGGAGCAGTGACTTCTTCCAATATCTTGTTTGGAATGCGTAAGATAATAAACCCGACTCTTGCTAATAAGACGCAACAAAACAAAAGATCTCCCGTTCTGAAAACAGCGCTCGTGTATGGAGGCTTTCTTGGAACATCAGCAAATCTTCGGTATCAGGTAATTAATGTTACTTTTTTGCTGTTATCTCTGCTTATGTTTTTGGATCCCTCTCAGGCTTATAGTTTCAAAACTGAACTCGAAGTTTAGAACATGAAAACGTGTCTCCTTGAAATCTAATCGCCACAGAATTACTGATGAAACTGTCTTCTTTCTGTACTGCAGATTATTGCAGGAATTATAGAGCACCGGATTTCTGACCAATTCTCCGACCAGACATTACTCGTAAATATGCTGTCTTTTGTTGCTCGTACGATCAACTCATACTGGGGCACCCAGGTTAGATACAGCATTGTCATCCTCCTAGATAAACTCTTCTGCCAGTTTCCAGTGTTTATCAGTAGGAAGTGTTATAAATTAAGATTGGGCTAGGGTCACTCAACTGGACTATAATGTACATGGGCCAAATCACATTGAATCCAACCTATTAACTAGTCTAACCCATGACCTTATAAACACATATATTCTCTCTTATTTTATCAAAAATGTGGGACTCTTAACAGAAAGAAACCTCACATTCATGCTCCTCTTTGGCTTAGAATTGATACTTACGTCACTTCTCATCTCGCGCAGCAATGGATAGATCTTGCGCGGTTTACAGGGCTGCAACCACGCCAACCACCACGAAAGACTGAACCCGACTCCCAGCTTACTCCAGATTCTGCAAATCGCACTGCAGTCGAATGCAGCCCCATGGATGATACACATACAGATGAAAGAAATGAAACCAACAACCAGTAGTTCCATTTTTTTTAGGTTTTCTAGCGCCATAATCTGTAGTTTTTGATTGTTTTGTTGTATAGTGTTTACCTGTGATATGAAATTTATAGACTTGTAGTTTTCTCAGAATTTTGAAGTGTATACAGACTTTAGATGCAATTGTAAATTCTTTAAAACAACATTCTTATACAATGGATCAGGGCAATATAAAACCTGATACAAAAATTTTGTACCTTCCGTTAACACATTTTATACCTACCGTTAACAGTTTTTGTACATATAAACAAAGAACTTGATAATTACCGACACATAATATGATAGCTACAGTCACCTACAGGTACAAAAACAATCAATTGCATGTACAAAATCTGTCAACTATAGATACATAATCTAAAAGTTATTTTTAGATCAGGGTCTACAATGCGAGGTACACCCTGTTTCATGGTATAATTTGCCGAATTGGACAACCATGGCTGTATTATTAAAAAAAATTTAAAATTGGTACGTTTGCATTTTAAAATATTTAAAAAATTACTGAGTTGGGCCTAATAATTGGGGGCCCAATTATTTTGAACATGGGCCGCTCTACATGATACGCCCGGTAACCGACTAACGGATAAGAACGATGACGTGTTGGGCACTGATTACGGTAGGCGTCAAGACATGACTGGACCAGTCACGTGCGAGTTACGTGGCGCATTCACTCCGACCGGATCAATAAATTCCGTACTCCCCATCTTCATCCATAGCTAAAACCTTCCTTCCTTTTTCTCCCAAAACAAATTCTCCGATCCCAAAAATGGCGACCTCTACGCTCAATCCAAACGCTCCGATCTTCGTGCCGTCGGCGTATCGCGCGGTGGAGGACTTCTCCGACCAGTGGTGGGACCTCATCCGCAACTCTCCCTGGTTCCGCGACTACTGGCTCCGCGAGTGCTACGCCGATGTGGACTCCTCCTTCCCCGACTTGGATGATTTCGATATCGACTTCGATTTCTCCGGCTTCGACTCCGATCCTTTCGCCGACGGAACGGTCCGCGACTCCGGTAACACCGAGCGTAAGTTCATGAGTTTTTTTTTATCCCCAGCTATTTCGATTCGTGTTTCTAACTAACTGAGTGTGTGTTTGGTGGATGTAGAGGAGGAGACTAAGACGGATCTGGTGACTCTAGGAGCCTTGAAGTGGCAGAAACCGCGAGCCGCGGCGGAGATTCCCAAGTACGGCAAGAAGGCGCCGAAGATCGTGAATGTGAAGGTGAGCCCCAGGCCGATTCAGCAGCCGCGGTAGAGCGGATCGTAATCGTTTCGTTTGCTTGACTCACTGAGTTAGGTCATTACTTAGTACCGAGTCGGATAAACAAACTTTTCATTTCAGCTTTTGTTAGGCTTGTTGTTGTACAGTTGCTTGCTTGCCTAAAGCTAACGTAGTTCCCTGCCAGTCTTCTGTTTGGAAATTGGAAGTCGTATCGAGTCATGTAATCTCCTGTAAGAAGTTGAATAAACAACCAAAAGAGTTTAATCATTCTCTCCACATAAATTCTATTAGCTTATGATTATGATGGATGATTTTTATCTGTCCAAACTCATATTAAAATCAAATCGGTGAATATCCCACACTTTAATACCTTTATCTACATCTTCATAAGGTGTAGATACTATCAAGTTTTATGGTAATTTGGCGTTATCTTCCAAAGATATTTCTTCAGCCATCCCTATCTTGTATATATATGTTTTTTTTTTTTAGTTCAACTACAGCGAGGCAAGTGTAATGTATACCCCCTATATTTAGTGTTTAATTTTTGTTGGATAATGAAAAAAGTGTCCAAAAACTATGGTTTTACCTAACACGTATTTATGGAGTAAAAAATAAGAATTTAAGTAGTATTACTCGAATATAAATTAGTAAATAACCTTATCGAGATTTAGGATAACGTCCACATTGTTGGTGGGAGTTAGATTTACATAATTGACATTAAATGTGAAGTTGATGTACATTTGTTCAAAAAAGGGAAAATTATATTAGATCACGGATATATATTAACTTTTAGTATAATAGAAGTTTATTTGTAGTGTACTAATTTTATATATTTTATTAATGATAGAATTTATACTTTGCTCTCACACACACACACACACACATATATATATATGTGTGTGTGTGTGTGTGTGTGTGTGTGTGTATATGTGTGTGTGTGTATATGTATATGTATATGTATGTATATATATATATATATATATATATATATATATATATATATATATATATGTATTCGGTATTCGTACGTCCGAGCATATTAGATTGTCTTATATTTTGTATGACTCGAGTTTGGTTGGGTGATTGGTCCCTCGGGTCAATAAAGTGTGTTTTTCACTTCCGATAATTTTTTTGACTAAGTCTGGTCAGGAAGACTACTCTTGAGCACCAACACCTATTACTAAGGAATAAATATAATTCGATCATATCGTGATAATGTAGGTGTCAAAAGTCTCAAAGCACGTGAAACTATTAGGATCGCATCATTGTGACTAGTGCATGAGAGACACGTGGTTAACTGTCAGACGCTCGACATGTGTCCCCTCTAAATTTCTATATAAAACGCATTAAATACCTAGAAGATGGACCTTTTTATTTGAGACTATAGAAGACCTAAACTCGATAACGTTTGACTACATATTTGTGAATTTTCTATTTTACCCTTATAAATATGTAATACTCCGTAATAGATATATGATTGGATATGAACCCCAATGGGCTAGGGGCCCAAATGAAAAAAATAAATAAAGGAATGTGCTTGCTACGATTGGCCCAAGAAAGGGAATATACTCAGTGGGCCTTAAGAAGACCTCAGACGAGTATGAAGCCGAGTCCGGAGAGTCGACATCAACAAGAGTCAGTCAGGCAGGTGATCGTTGTCACTTAAAGACCCGCCATTAATACGGGTCAATCCAGTCATTGGAGGAGTCCAGTAACGACGACTCAACGTCTCTTGGCCTTTATTTCTCATTATTATGCATTAATTCTTGTGTTTAGATAGTATAAGACAATCGCCCATAAATAGGCCTCCCTCAAAATGTTGCAGGGAGAGGACGAGCTTTACCGAGTCAAGAGTATTCTGAAACCATAAAGACAGCCGTATATTTTATAGTCATTCCTCTCTTTTAAGTCACTTTTTACCTTTAATTTTTCGATGAATTCACCAATTTATCGGATTGTGTTGGACCTTTGTGAGCCAAAATCCTAAAACCAACAAGATAATTTTTGAATTTTTTTGTTAAGTTAAGATGAAAACTTAATGACTGAAAGCTAAAAAATGAATAGGATTATAACTGAGAGACTGAGTTGTCAAAAGTCAAAACATAGGTATAACTCAAAACCAAATATGTCATTTACTTTTTTTTTTTTAAAATTTTAAAATGTATGAATATGGACCAATTAGAACATGACATTTGTCCCCTCGTGTGATTGGTTCTTTCCTTGCTCTACCGGCTCCAATCCAAAAGACAAAAGATTCCTGACTAAAATTCTTCAAAAAATAAAATAAAATAATTTAGTCGCAGGAATTCAGCAATTATTACTGCCCACTTTCTCAGTCAGCTTTAAGAATTTCAATCCAGGAACTGCAACAGGAATCCAGCAATGGGTAACGCTTTAACATTCTTGTACGGCCGGTGTTGCAGTGCGCCGCCGGAATCCGGTGGTTCTCTCGGCCACCACGGCGTCACGCCGGCCACCGTCGGCGTCTCCGCCCTCGCTCAAGATCTCTACAACTTCGAGATCACCTCCCAGGTACCCACACTCTCTTGCTTCACCTTCTACACTCAGTTAGTTGCAGCATGAAAAGCCTTCGATTTTAGTCAGCAGTTCCTATGATTTCATGGACCCGAGGTTGTTTTTCAGGATTATAATTGATTTTTCTCATTAAATTTTCCAACTTTTTTCTCTTTTGTATGTTTTCACCTTGCCAAGGTTCCTCAAGGGTTAAAGCAGCATGTGGTATCATCCAGGAAGGCTCAATCCAACTGGTAATTAACCTGCAACACTATTACTCTTTTAAAGAAATTTTAGTCCATGACAAATCCCAACCAAATTAGTTAGATTGTTGATTTGATAACTATAAAATTACAAGTTCGAAGTTTGATTTAACTTAGATTGGTTTACTGTCCTAGGATCTTGTTTGAGATTCTAGTGTGATTTCACATCAAATGTTGAGAAGGGAACAAATATGATTATTATGTACTATCTGCATTTATGATGGTTTGGTTTATATATGGACTTGTGGCCTTACCTGTATGTTTTTTTTTTATGATAATGAAGGTATAGGAAACTCTCAGATGCATGGAGAGAAGCGAGGCCTCCTCCGAAAACTCCAGAAGAGGCTGCAAGGCTCGTCATTCAGACTCTGAAGAATCATCAGACACCAGACGTGGAGGTAGTGATCCAAATCCATCTTCTTTAATTTCATCGTTTAGTATGTACTTATTAACTGTGAGGCCGCCTTGTTTCAGGGATTACTGGCTTTCTATGGCCTCCCGCTTCCTGCTGCTCTAGTTCAACTCACATATGAGGCGCCTCCATTGTACCCCGAAGGGGTGCAGTTTGAACTGCTTACCTTGCCAGTAAGTTTTCAAACGCCTTTATCTTGAATGGTCGAGGTGATGTGAATTGAAGCATGTGCTTCATCTCAACTAAAAGCCTAAGCTGATAGTTGGATTGCACATTAATGGTTATATGCTCAACAATGTGTTTTTGTTTTGATCAAATGTTGAGAGTTGAGAGCGGTTTTTGGTGTTATTTTTAGGTGGATCCAAAAGCAGTAGCGGATGGGGATACAATAACTGTGTATGTAGGCACCACAGATCCCCGGGAGGCGTCCTGTGTTCCCAGTGATGTTCAAGTTGCAGCTGTCGAGAGATCTCAGGCTCGTTCACATAAGAATTATGCTCGAGCAGATCAGCTGCACCAGCACATTATTGATTCAGGATATCGGTCTTTCTCCTGAAAAACTTTGTTTTATGTTATTAATCTGTCACATAACTTTCCTCGAAAAACATTGATGTTTCTGCATATTGCTTATATGTGTATAGCTGTGTTTTTTTGCAGTGTGATTCGGGTGAATGGCGAGGAAGTTCTTGCTAGGAAATATAGGATTCGATTAAGGTACGATAAGAAACTTGGGTTTTTATGTGAGGTCAAAGTGGTGGGACTAATGCAGGGATGAGTAACAGAGGAATTGATGCACCAGAAGGTCAGATGCCATATGGCCAAGAAGCCAAGGAAGAGCTAGTTAAGATTGTTCAAGGAAAGTGCCTAAGGTTGCTGGTTTTCGACGAGGATCGTTATGGCCGTGCTGTAGCGGATGTATATTGCAATGGCATATTCGTACAGTTAATTGAAAGATGCGTTTCGTTTTAGTTATATGTTTAAACTGATAGTTGGACCGCACATTTAATATTGCAAGTCTGCAATATCAATGATTATGCACATTGTTGTGGGTAGGAAGTTATGCTCAAGAAAGGTCTAGCATGGCATTACACAGCCTATGATAAACGCCCGGAGCTAGCAAAGGTAAAACTGTTCTTTCTTGATCGGGATGAGAACTCTGAATGTTAGACTTTTAGTTGAGACGGAAGAATCTTTTAATTTGGTATCAGAGCTAAATGTTGGTTTCTCTTGTGGTTTAGTGGGAGACACATGCTAGGGCAAAACGAATTGGGTTATGGGCATCCAAGAATCCCGAGATGCCATGGGAATGGAGAAGAGAGAGGCGCGAAAATAATCGGCATTAGAGGTCTTGTGTGAGACCGTATCATGTCAGACGAATAATATTTGTTGACAAAAATGTAATACTTGACGTTGTCTTTCATAGAAAAAATATATTATATTTTTACTAAAAAATTATTATGTGTTTCAGGTGAGAACAATTTCATGCAAATTTGTGTTAGAAGGATGTGTATATGACCACTTGTTTTAGAGTGTAAAGCTTAAAAGAATAGGCTTACAAGCCAGGCATGTTGTACAGTATTTTCTTCAGTTGTTTTCTTCTGCTTCTCTGAGCCCATACTTGCGATTGTGTTGGGCCTTCAGCGCATCCTCAAGTTTGTGATTTTGTCTTCTGAGTTTCAAAATTAAATGTACTATTTAAAGAAAAATAACTTATGCATTTCGATTTAGCATAGTATATGGAAAGAGTTAATGGCATATGGGGTTTTCTGATCAGTGGCTTTGTCACGTGTTAGTCTTAAACTTTTAAATTAATCACTGATGCTCCTTTAACTTTTAAAATTTAACCAGTTGCGGTCATTTTGCATGAATGGTTAAAATTTAATAGTTGAAGAATCATGAGTGGTTAACTTGAACCACTAATAGTAACAATTTGAAAATAAAAAGATGAATAGTAATATATCTCATATTGTTTTGACTTTTGATGATGTAGTATTGTAGTGGGAGGAAAAGATTATTAGTAAGCTACCTTTATGTTCACTTTTCATCATTTTATTTGGACCGTCATTTAAAAAAACTTGTCCTCATCCCCGACTCCATAATGGTCCATTGTTTTAAAAACAACATATGACTAATATATGTCCCATTATATTTCATGATATATAATGCATTGGGGTGTTCAATCGGTTAACCGTTCGGTTAACCGAACCGTTTTAACCGAACCGAATTAACCGAAGTTTTTTTTTCTTTAACCGTTAACCGAACCGAAGTTTGCTCTACCGAATTCACCGAACCGAAATTTTTTTCGGTTAATCGGTCGGTTAACCGATTAACCGAACTTTTTAAAGCTAAAATTTAAAATTCAAAAAATAACACCTAAAATAATAAATCTAATTAAAATAAAATACATATCATAATAAATTCATAACAAAATATACAAAAACATTAATTAGAAACTCCAAACATCCATAACTTCAAATTAGTATTTATATTTATATTATTATTTATATATATATTAAAAACTTCGGTTAACCGTTCGGTTAATTCGGTTAACCGACCTTTCGAACCGAATTAACCGTTAACCGAAGTTTTAAAATTCCTTTAACCATTAACCGAACCGAAAAAGTTCGGTTCGAAAACGGTTAACCGAACTTTGTCGGTTCGGTCGGTTAACCGAAAATTATCCGAAATTTGCACACCCCTAATAATGCATTTGTCAATGTGATAAATTTCAGCCCCATCACTGGAATTGATTCTCATGAACCTTTTAATCTGCTAATGGGTTTTAACATGGTTGAATTGCCAACTTACTCTTTAATAAAAAAAATTTTCGTTTGATATGACATGCGTTCTGTGATTAGTGCACCGTCAAATCACGAGACTGTTAATTAAACAATCATATTTCTAAATCATAAATTCATAATCCACCATTTTTATTTACAAGAAAGTCCATAATCACTATCTGAATGCAATCGTTATGCTGTGCATCCGGTTGCACCGTACTTGGTGCATCCGGATCCACACGACGTCGTTTAGGGAGTAACGGTGCCGTTAGTGGCACCGTTTCACTCCACCAATCAGATATTTTTTTTTTTTTTAAATATAAAACAATGCTCCTTCGTTTCTTCTCCACTGCATTTCACTTCCCGCACTCCATTCCTTCTCCAACACGATACCCTCCGTAAACGCTTCAATCATCTCCATTTCCTTACCATTTCTTTAGCATTTTCTAGCTTTCAAACACACTCGTCGTCGCTATTATCGCCGGCGTCCGATCATCGCGTATTCAACAGCGCTTTCTCTGTAAACCAGAGCTCATCATCATCCTATAACAGGTATAAATGCATTTTACGTTGATACATAATGCATTTACACAAAACAAGCATTCATTTTGAGTATATATTTATGAAATTTTAAACTAGGATTTTATACTGTTTAATCTTGTATGAATGTATAGTTATTTGATTATTAACGTGTATGGTTATGATTATGGGTTTATGAGTATATTTATAAGTTTATGGAACTGTAGTTTTACAATTTTGGAAGTATAGTTGTACATTTATGGAATTGTAGACATACAGTTTTGGGTGTAGTACTCTGTTAACCTTACTCTGTGCACCAAACTGCATTCATGCCTTCTTAACATAATTTGCTTTGTGCGTATACTTATGGAATTGTAGTTTTACAATTTTGGAAATATAGTTGTGCGTTTATGGAATTGTAGTTATAGAGTTTTGGATGTAGTACTCTGTGAACCTTACTCTGTGCACCAAACTGCATCAATGCCTTTTTAGCATAATTTGCCTTGTAGGTATGCTTATGGAATTGTAATTGTACAATTTTGGAAGTATAATTGTGCGTTTATGGAATTATAGTTATACAGTTTTGGATGTATTACTCTGTGAACCTTACTCTGTGCACCAAATTGCATTCAAATCCTTTTTAGCATAACTTGCCTTGTGGTATACTTATGAGATTATGGAATTGTAGTTTTACAATTCTGGAAGTATAGTTGTGTGTTTATGGAATTGTAGTTATGAAGTTTTGGATATAGTACTCTGTTAACCTCACTTGATGTTTTTTATTTGCAGAAATGGATCAGTCAGGTGTGGCAGATGATTCTACACTTGGTCAATTTGTGAAGTCTGTAAAAAAGAGAACAACCAGAGCAGTATTGAGCTCACAAGCTGCTGAACTCACCCCTGCCCAGGAAGATCAAGCAGAGCCTTCGACAAGGCAACAACCAGCAGCTGTAAAAAGAAAGAGGGCACCACCACAAAAGCGAGAGAGAGTACGGGACCCTGATGTGAACTACTTCAGTACACGAATGGGTCTCAAGCAAATGTATGACCTTGTCCAGCGTCTAACACATGACCAAAAGGATGCTGTGATTGATATGGGTTTTGGAGGGCTGCTGCACCTACAATTTTCAAGCAATTACTCACAACTTGTTGAGTATCTCCTGCAAAGGTTTGATGTTTTCAAATCAGACTTCATATTGGATGGTGACCATCTACATGTCGGTGAAGAGGATGTTGAATACATCTTGGGACTCCCCCGGGGGAAGAGAGATGTTGAGGAAGGTACAAAGAGTGAGGAAAATTCTACAGCTGCATATAATAAGGTCCTGACTGAGTGGAGGAAAAGATGGAATGTCAGGTCAGGGTCACCCATAACAACAAAGATGCCTGATGAAATAATCAGGAGAGGTGACCATGGAGATGCCTTCAAGAGAGACTTTGTGGTGTTTGCTGTCTCATCTCTGCTCCGGGGAAATACTGGAAGATATGCCAACTATCGAGTTATCAAGTCATTGCTCAACATCCGGTCAATCTCAAGACTTAATTGGTGCAAGTACACGTACAATTCTTTAATTGATTCGTATGACATTTACAAAGACTCTCCTACCAGATCCTTTGGAGGTCCAATGGTATTCATCCTGGTAATATCCCATTATACATAAAATGTTCTAATTATGTAATTATATTCATGCAATTATGGAATCATAGATATGCAATTCTGTATGTGTGGTTATGCCCTTATGGATGTGTAGTTTTGTAATTGTGGAATTGTGGTTTTCCAATTATGGAATAATAGTTTTACAATTATGGAATTATAGTTAATCAATTATAGATGTGTAGTTTATGGATTATGGAATTATAGTCATCCAATTATGGAATTATAGTTATGCAATTATGGAATTATAGATATGCAATTCTGGATATCTAGTTTTATAATTATGGAATTATAGTTATGCAATTATGGAATTATAGATATGCAATTCTGAATATGTAGTTATTCAATTCCTTAACATACTCTTCTGTACTTCTTGAAGCTCTTCTACTTTGACCGAGTACAGTTCAGAGGCATGACCGTCAACCGCACATTCCCAGCAATAAAAGCTTGGACAAAAAGCCTTGTACGCAAGCGAGTATCGGCTGAGATAAAATCAGGGGGTTTTGGTAAGGGCAAAGTTATCCCTCGATTTCAGAGACCTACTGCCATTGCATCTACATCATCACCCCGACCTGCACCTCCTCCTGCTGCAATACCAAGGCCAGTGTCCAGCCCTGCTGCTACACCAACTATTCCAGCTCCATCTGTGCCTCTGACAAATGTTGACCGAGTAACAAATGTGCTTCAACGGCTTACAGCAGATGTCCTTGAGTTCGGTCAGGTCATGTCTGACATTGGCAAGCAAGGGGCCCCGGTTGAAATCATGAAGAGGGCTTTTTCAGGAATATCAACAATGCTGAGTGCTGCAAGCACAATTCAACCGACTCCTAGCCCAACTGCCTCGCAATTGGATGACATCTTCTTCGGAAGTGAGAGCTTCACATCAGCAGTTGATTCTCTGGTAGCAGCTTTTGAAAAAACAAGAAAGGAAATGGAAATAGAAGTCCCATCATTTGAGCTACTTGGACGCTCTACACCAACCCCACCACCATCTCAACAGCAGCCTTTGGACACCTTGGTGGATAACATTGTGAGGAGTGCAGGAGTATCAACCTCAACAGAGAAGGAAGCAACTCCATTACTAATCAGAGTGCCATTCGAAAAGTCCACCACTCCTACTACCCCTGCTGCCCAAACTGCTGCTGAGATTGATGAATTTGATAAGTAGGTTACTGCTTTCTTATGCAGATTTAGACTATAAATATGGTTTTCAATTCATCAATAATTATGAATATTAAGTTTGATTAATATGAATATATTCTTATTCAACTAGTGACGTTGATTTCTTTACAATTATGGATATGTATTTCTCAAATTATGGACATATAGTTTATAGATTATAGAAATGTAGTTATACAATTCTGGAATTATACTTGTGGGGTTATGAACTGCCTCTGTTTTTTTCTGGACAACAGGGCTATGGATGAAAGTGAATCTGATGTTGAGGATGTTACTGTGAGAAAGAGACCTGTGCGCAAATTCAGGAACATCCCGCTTCATTTGAGGTCACCATATTGGAATAAGAACAAAGGCTCCATCAATAATGCAACTCCCAAAGAAAAGGTTTTTTCAAACTACGCATTTTTGGAAGCCTCAAGTGAGCACCCGGGAGGGTATGTTTCCATCCACCAATTTTACTTAAATTTTATTCATTAATTTATGTTCTTATATTTATTTATTTACTGTATTGTAGAGAGACATTGTTCAAATATGGTGATTACTACTTCACAAGGGATGATTTTGCAACTATGTGCAACGGTGAGCTACTGAGCAGCTTCCTAGATGTCTGGTCCCTACGTTTTACATTGCTGAACATGCCCCGTGCGGTTGGGGAGACAAAGCGGGTCTACTTCTCCACCCTAGTACATGTAAGTGTTCACAAATTATGAATATATAGTTTTTAGATTATGGATATGTAGTTATTCAGTTCTGGATGTGTACCTGTGAACCCCTGGTTTTATAATTTTGTAATTCTGGAATTATAGTTATGCAATTATAGAACTATACTTATGCAATTATGGAATTGGTTATATGCAATTATGGAATTATTGATATGAAATTATGGAATTATAGTTATCCAATTATGGAACTATAGTTGTACAATTCTGGAAATGTATATATATATAACTCTGTATGTATAACTTTAACATTTTCAACAAATATTATTTGGATTATGACTACTCATTCCTGCATTTGTATGTGCAGCTTCAAATTGATCCCAATGATCAGTGGATGAAGGATCTCCCAACTCACATAAAAATGAAGAATTTCAATGAGAGATTGAGCTATGAAATAACCAGCTTCGGGAACCTAGACATCAGTGATGCAGATCTGGTAAGTTCTATTACCCATGTCCAATTTGACTTTATCATGTCCAAAAAAATACTAACATTGCTTTAACTTTGAATTGGAATTAGATATTTTTCGCAGTTCATCGCCATGGTCACTACTTCTTGGTCTGCTTCAATGTGAAAGAACATAAAGTACAGGTCATTGACAACAAGGAGTTACCAGCTGGTGTTTCGGAGAAGGACAAATATGGCAACTGCCCACACTTATTGGTAATTTTGATAAAAAAAAAAAACTTGACATTCTTACCATTACCTATCTATTGACATAAAAGCATTATCAACACTAAACTAACTTTTCTGACCAGATTGAAGCATTCAGTGGTTACCTTAAGGCCGAGTGCCACTCCTTGTATGTGAAATTGCAAAAAGTTGATATAAAGTACCTTAAGTTGGACTGGGCAAACACTGAAAACGTCACTGATTGCGGGATCTATGTACTCCGTCATATGGAGACATTCCGAGGGACTCTACAAGACTGGCAGCCAGGATTCAAGAAAAATATGCGCTTGAATGTAAGACTACCATACATATTATAGTTTCAAAATACATTAAAAAATAAATAAAACTGCGAATGACTAATTACTTAATGTTCTTTGTTTATAGGCAAGCTTCATGTGTGAATTGCGAGCGAAATATGCTGCGAACCTCATAAAGTGGAGAATGAATGAAGTCAGGGGGGAGGTTCTGCAAGCGGCCAAAAGAGTTTCGAAGAAGAATTGAATGAATATTCTTCAACATGTTGACTGAATTCTAAACAATTAGAAAGTTTTTGTGAACTACATTGACAATGTGACTTGTATTTTGTGAATGTAGATGCATGATGTTAATAGCTAAATAACAATTTACATCTGATCTATGCACCTCTTTCTCTTTTCTCTTCTTTTCTTTTCTTTACTTTTTTTTTTTTTTTTTTTTTTTTTGTTTTCATGTATCAAATCTATAATTGCATGACTACTATAAATCCAGAATTGCAAAACTATAGTTCCATAATTGCATAACTATAATTCCATAATTTCATAATTATAATTCCATAATTGTATATAAACAATTCCACAATTGCATAACTATAGTTCCATAATTGCGTAACAATAATACCATAATTGCAAAACTATACATCCATACTTGCATAACTATACACCACAATTTCATAACTACAAATTCCATCACAATGGGGACTACACATGCATAAATGCATAACTATATTTTCATAATTGAATGACTATAATTTCATAATTGCATACCTTTCATAATTGCATGACTACAATTCCATAATTGTATAACTATAATTCCATAATTTCATAACTACAGTTCCAAAATTGCAAAACTACATATCCAGAATTACAAAACTAAAACTGTATAATTGCATAAAATCAATGATAACAACTTGTATTTCTCAATCTACACCTACATTGTCATCTAAACCCTTACTAAACTGAACAAAATCTGAACTTGAAGAACTTGGATGTACAAGGTATCCATCCCCAGCAAGCTTGGATATGTTTTCCAACACCAAAGACTGAACAGCACCCTTTGTACTCAATGCAGCTTTATTTGCAGCACTCCTTCTCCCCCTTGCAAGACTGTACTTCTTTTCAATAACACCACTCCTCCTTTTGTTACGCTCACCTTTCAATCTCCGACTTGAAGGATTTTGAACACCACCACTTGAAGATGAAACACCACACTCTTCAATATGCACATGCCCAACCTCGGCTTCAAACTTTTTCTTTACATCATCAACAGCCTCGTCACACAGTTTCCTCGCTACGCTGCTATCTTGACTAGACACAACTAATCTTTGAAATTTTCTACTAATATCGAACACCCAAATTGATGGAGGAACACCAACATTATAAACCATAGAATCAATGTTGACATTCCTACCATCAATAACCTTTTTAGTCCATCTTTTAAGTATATATTTGTCGGGAATACTAGAAACACAATGTACGTGAAGAATGCGTATACAATGACAACATAGAATTCCCAACTCAGACATCAACTTGCAACTACAAGAAATGTCCAAGTTGGCTGCGTTAAAACTAACCTCATGCCTTATAATATCTATATCTGGCTGCCACACGTGATACTTCTGTTGACGGCCATCATTCAACACCATCTCTTGATGACACGCACTGCCTTTCATGAATTGTTCCTCAAACAGAAAATATATCTCAATCGTGTATACCTCTCTAGCATGTGAAAGAAGTTTCACATGCTCCATCATCATAGCGGGTACCCCTTGAGCACACCGAAAGTCTTCACCGTTCTCTTTACTTCTCCATTCAGAAATTACGCTTACAAACGATGAATAGAAATCACAAAGACCCGCTGTCTTGGACAACCTTCTAGAAATCGAATGATTTGTAGTTTCACTCCTTTGTGATGATAGAATGCCCCCAGAAAAATAGTCCTTGTTAAATGCTGGACACCACTTCTCCCTACAGTCATATAGCTTTTCTAACCAAGTATTCTTGTGACATTTATAGTCAGTCACCAACCTGAAAATGGTAAGACAAAATCCCAAATGATTATGAAGCAGAATATTAACAAGCAGCATCACCACATCTAACACATACTCAGAATTTCTATTGCTCTATATACATAATTGGAATACTATATGTCCATAATTGATAGACTATATATCCATAATCCATACTACTACATTTCCAGACACCACCAGTAAGTTCAACTGCTATATATCCATAATCGGTATACTATATATCCATAATCGGAATACTATATATCCATAATCCATATACTACATTTCCAGACACCACCACTGCTATATATCCATAATCGAAATACTATATATCCATAATTGATGCACTATACATCCATAATTACAAACGTAATGCAATAAAAACGATTAATTACTAACATACCTTGTCCAATAGAATTGAAATTCAGCTTCGGTCTCTGTGTATTTCAACACGTAGTTAAACATATCCAAGAAATCCTTATTGCTCCTTAACGTCTTGATATGCTTCTTTGAATTCTCACCGATATGCCATATGCAAAGACGATGACGTGATGTTGGAAACACTTTAGATATAGCAGCAGCCATAGCTGCACATTGATCTGTCATAATAGTCTGTGGAGACTTGCCACCCATTGATCTTGAAAACACTTTAAACAACCACACAAACGATTCTATCCTCTCGTTCATCAAAAACCCGCATCCAAACATTACATTCATGCAATGGTGATTCATCCCTACGAAAGGGGCACAAAATCATATCGTATTTGTTTGTGCGATATGTCGTATCATGCACTAACAAGTCCCCAAACACCTCGTAATCTCGTCTCATTTGACCATCCCTCCAAAAAAAACTGCACAACCTTGCATCCAAGTCAAGTTCAAAATCAAAGAAAAAATCAGTCTCGGTAGACTGCCTCCTCCTAAAAATTTCAATTAAAGAGTTAGAATCCGTTCCATCCAATCGCTTGACAGTATCCGCAGCCATTGAATTATAAGCATCTCTACTGGTGAAACCAACTAAAGGGGACCCCCCCCGATTGGTGTTTTAGGAACCTAATACCATCTGCCAATGCAACACCACTGTCACTTCAAACCTTGTAAATATAAGAGCTGATTATCTCCGACACTCCTATGTGAACGAAAGTAGATGACTCTTGTTGAACACACATAACTCGTGATTGTGCACTTTCTCGTGTTTCGTAACTGTCCACAACCCATCATCACCCACGTCAAATTGAACAAACGCTCCACACCCTGTCCTTGTGTCAATTTTGGAATAAGCCTTAACCCCACTGTTAGCCTTGTAACCAGCCTTAGAACAACAAAATTTCTTCATTTGAATTGTGTTCGAAGATCCCTTGTATCGTTGATGACCTTCCTCACACTAAAACCAAGTCTATATGCATAACTGTTATACCCTTCAAAAGCCTCATCAGCATTACTTACTACCAAACCAACCAAATCTTGATCAACTGCAAATATAACACAATAATAACCATTTCCATTAACACATAATTCCTAACCATAATTTGCTAATTAAAAGGTAAACCACTATGAATAAACCTGGAATTGATGAAGATCCATCAACATCTACATCTACTTGATCTGAACTCACTGAACCATCCACAATGCCTTCACTAACTACATTATATAGACATGGTGAACATTAATTCAAACAGTTCATCAAACAGAAAAAACAGAGTGTCTACAGATTCTGTATATATAGTTATATGATTATGGAAATATAGTTATACAATTCTGGATACACAGTCGCAACAAACTGCCAAAACAGAGTACCCCTAATTCTGAATATAGACATGCAATTCTGGAAATATAGTTATGAAATTATGGAATTATTGTTTTCAAATTCTGAAATTGTTGTTACACAATTATGGAAATTACTTACGTGATTTTGCACAACTATTTGCAGATCTAGACACAAACATCACTGCTAATCACATAATCATACAAAAAACCAAAAGGAACGATTGCAAAAACAATAACAAGATCACCTTGAATCGAATGCCAATCATCAACTGCGGAATTCGTCTGCTCTGTTCCATCCTCCATCTATCAATCACTTTGTAATTCCCGATTTCGATTTTGCGATTGCGATCGCGATTCCGGTGATATCGAATGCCAATACCACAGCGAACAACTGCCAACGATCGAGTTTGAAACTTGGAAACAAACTCAAAAGGAA